AGCTTTAAAAAACTAAGACGTGGAAATGTTACAGTTAATGCTCAACAAGGATGCCATGTTTAGCACTTGTCAGAGGGGCTGGAGAATGTAAACCAAAATCCAAGACTCTGCACAGGCAGAGTCTTTTACTAAGTTAGTTGGTCAAGATAATACCGAAAGATCCCAACCAGGCTTGTGCAGAAAGTGCTGTTTCTTTTCGCTCAGGTTTACAAGGAGCAGGAGGACATGGCTGTTGAGTCTTAACTGCAGCATATACACTACTAGCCGTTCATGTTTGTCTGGACCCTGCTCCACTTACTGACTTCTAAACAACCTTATTTCTATTTAATAATGAAGGATTTGCGATTACTTACAATTTCAGACACTGGGATTTGGTACAGTTACATGGCTTTTTAGACTTTGTGTCCAATGAACTAAGAGTTACTCTATAAAGATTAAAAAAGAAAATGTATTCAGATCATTACTCTTCAAAAAGAGAATTAGCTAAGCAGCTGGTGTTTTTGAACAAAGACTGAAAATCTCAACACCAGAGAGTTATAGGTATCATTTATCAGTGCCAGGTCATAAGATGGAGCGGCATGCACATTCACAATGTGAGGAGCAAGCCTGGCCAGGTCCAGCTGCACGCCCAGGGACCCTATTGCTGCCCCCTCCTCAAGCCTGCACACATAGTCTCGGGGAGCAGATGACTGAACAGGCCCCAGGGAAAGTGAAAGTGAAAGCATTAGTCCCTTAGTCATGTCTGACTCTTCACAACCACATGAACTGTCTCTCAGGCTCCTCTGTCCATGGGATTCTCCAGGCAAGGATACTGGAGTGGGTTGCCATGCTCTTCTCCGGGGGATCTTCCCAACCCAGAGACTGAACCTGTGTCTCTTATGTCTCCTGCACTGGCAGGCAGGCTCTTTACAACTATGACATACACAGTTTTGGGGAGCAGAGGAGGGGGAGATATTTCATATCACTGGGGCCTTGGACCTTCCCCAAGCTTCTTCCATTGACCTGTTTAAAACTCTATTGTGTGTGGCCCCCCACACCAAATAGATTTTTAATTTTGTATTTTTCAAATCAGAACACTAATGAAGAGTAAGTTAAAGAACAACAGAGAAACCGTCATTCACTGTGTTGGAGCTGACTAGTATTACCACTAGTATCAAATGTGTTTTGAGTGTTATCATGTGGGTATTGGGGACTGCCCTCCTAACCGTCCCTTTGGGGATTAGCCCAGAAGCCATCTTCAGGGGCATCAGAAGGGGAGAGGTGAGTGCGTGCTGGTACTGCTAAACTGCGGGCTAAGAAACGGACAGGCTCCCAAGTGCTGCTCAGAAGCACTGCTGCCTGGGGGGACTTGGGATGTTGGCACTGTGAGGTGGTGGGTGGGTCCTGGGGTTGAGGAGGAGCACGCATTCCCAAACACCAGCTGTGATCGGGGCTCTCCCTCCTTGGGGCCCGTGGCCCTCGAGTTCAGCCTCCTGCTCCCCGAGACTGCGTGTACAGGCTTGGCGTCTGTAGCGCTGGCTGCTCCTAAGACCACATCTCGGTCTCGGCCTCCTCAGGAGCTACGGCAGGGCTTGGCACACACTGCTTGCCGGCAGCCTCCTGGCGTCCTGCAGAGCCGGGAGCCATCCTCTGCCCGGTGTGCCGTCTTCAGCCAGGGGAGGGCGGTCTAACCTCGGCTCGGGCCCCCCGCCCGCATGCCCTGGAAGCTTCACTCATCAGGCCCCCGCCTCTCTTCTCACTGTTTCCGCTTCAGGAGCCCTGCCCTCTCCCACCGGAAACCGTAAAACGGTCACCAACTCCTGGCTGAGTTACTGTGTCGCTTCTTCTGGAGATCACGCCGCCACACTATGTTGTTGAATCTTTACTAACTTAGTCTTCCTCTAGTCTGGTTTCCCCTTCACAGAGAGGAGAGTGGCAGCCTTCTATCCTCATGTGTGCCTGCAGGTGGCGGATCCGGCTACACTGCCCCTGGTCCCCCAACCTGGATCTGAAGTGGGCTGTTCAGAGGAGGCGGACATGGGCACCCATGTCACCACTCTTGCCCTCAGCCTTGCCTCTAAAATGGGGTATGGTGTGGCCTGGCACTACCTGTCCAGAGGAACCAAAACTCTTCCCTTTAAAAATGGGGTAGGGGCCCATGGAGACACTCCAATGGTGAGCTACCGTAATTATGGAAGGAGAGAGTACGGTTCAGTGAGTATCTGTGGTGCAGGAAGGAGCCGATAGGCACTGACTGTGAGATCACTCTGTGGCTAGACTGTCATAAGTGCTTCAGGGGAATACCAAAATATACATATATACACATATATTTTAATTTACATTGCCTGTTCTAGAGGAATAATTTGGGGCATGAGCTATATACAATTGAAAAATTAGAGGACAAAAGATATTATATAATCAACTATCAAATTATATGATATAGATTATAAATGATACAAAATTCGAGGACAGTTTAATAGAGATGAAAAAACAAAACTACTCCTGAGAGAAGTAGAACTTGACATTGACTTTCAAGAGTGTGAAGTTTTTTTGTTATTCATCAAAAGAATGTTTCAGTTGAAATAACAGCACAGCAAAGATGCCACATCAGGGATGAGCAAACAGTGCTTGAAGGGACAGCAAAGGGACCCGTTCGTTGCGGTGGATTAAACCGGAAGGAACTTCCATGGCTCTAATATTAATACTATTTGACTACTCTTCTATGCCAACCTGAAAATTAAAGCACTAGAGAAGATCTGGACAACTCTGCCTCAGAAAAGCATTATAAATAAACTACCACCATGAGATACGACCTCATCTTTAAGAAAAAATTTCCAGAGAAGCAGACTCTTGAATTTTATAATGTTCATTATGTTACCAAAAATAAAGACATCAAGGACATATCAGAATTCACAGTAAATGTCTGATTGATAATTTGATTATTAAAGCCATGCAGAGTTACAGGACATGAATTTTTATTCATATGATAAACTACTTAATAAGTCAGCCAGTTTACCACCTATATCTCAAGAATGGTGACTGGGTGAACCCATATGGACTGCTTGCTGTAAGGCCCAAGCTGGCCTGCATCTAAATCTTCTATCTCAGAATGTTTAAACCATATGGGCTGACAGAATGTCCTTTCTCACCTTTGAAGAATGTCTTCACACCTTGGAAGACACCTTTGTTTGACCTTGTTGTCTAGTGCAAGTTAAAAAAAAAAAAGCCTAACAAAGCATCTAAAGAGGTCTAGCAAATTAGTCATGGTTGGGAACTCATACAGAATGAAACAGCCTGCAAACGGTTTTCTGACAGCTCCCTCGCCACAAATTAACAAGTTGGTAGAGATTCCAGTATGCCATCAGTACTGTGGATATAGAGATAATAATCATCTGGCTGATTCAGTGGCATGACATTAAATCAAGTAATTATTTGCAGCAAAAAAATACAAAAACAAAGCTCATGTTGTTCCTGGCAAAACTTCCTGGCACATCATTTATAATAGAAAAAGTATTTTATGGCCTGCGTAATTACTTCACAATAGAGAAAACCTTGTAGAGACTAGGAAGAAGGCAGGGGGAGGGTGGGAGTAAGGGGAAATGCACTGAATGAGCATTTCCTCATTGCCACTCCTCTGTGGAGAAGTATAAAACCTGCAACACAGAGAAACTTCAAACGGCACTCTAATTCTGAGAGCACACTTGAAATAAAGTATTAGAAGCACCAAATGCCCTTGGCTGTGGTAGACAGGCCAAAGCACATTGTGTGCAATACTATGGGCTGGTTGCTGCCAGATTACAAGCAAGGTAAAGTACGTATCCTTAGGATCTGAAAATCCTGGGTCGTATGGTGTAACCAAAGATGTAATACCATCAGCAAATTTAGAAGTTGCTCACAGAGTTGTTTGGTCCACAAACATTATGAGTCATGATTACAGAACCAGTTACAACAGCAACCACTGATCCATCATGCCAAGATAGTGAAGCCAGGAGAATGGCTCCCATAGTCTGAGTCAGTCAAATTAAATGAGAGTCAACACCTGAAGTGGCACAGAATTACAACCAGCTCCACGACCAACTGCTAAGACTGAAGCAGCAAGTCACATGAGCAACTGACATTCTTCGGCGACAATGCAGAGGTGTGTGTTAGCTGAATCCACCAGGCCACCAGAACTCCACTAAGCGGCTCACCTAAGCATCTCACGCCGTCCCGATGACTCTCCTCACGCGCATCAAGGTCACAGTGAAGACGTGCCTGAAGGCAGACACTTCAGGAGCCTGGGGGCACTAGAGACCAGCCTACGTTTCCTAAATTGCTGGCCTGATTTCTTTCAGGCCCTCAAATGTACTTTTTCATTAGGCTGTGTGCCCCAACATCTGGAGGCAGGAAGAGATGACCCCTCCATAACCAACTAGATGGCTCCATGAACAAAGAGGGCTGCTCTATTCACTGATAGCACATGAGTGTGAACTCAAGAAAGTTTCAACCCCCTTGGTTAGTTTAATTAGTTACAATTACAGGCATGATTTTAAAATGGCAAGACAAGGTCCCAGATAAGTGCAGCCATGTCCACCTGCAGATCATGTGCCTCGGACCCTGCCATTGAACGTGAGCAAAGGCAGCGGGCAGAGGCTGCCATGAAGGCACGGAGACTGCGGTCAACGTTAAGTGACTGCCACACCATTACCTGTGTTGATGACAGCAAAACAGAAACAGAGCAGCCAAGTTTAAACCAATGTGCTCTCAAGACAGCTAGGATCGGCAGCAAGCCTCTGAAACACTGACACTGGACACTGGGCAGAGAGTGGAAGTAAACGAAGGTTACAGGCCAGTCTTTCAAGCAACCGCAAACCAGATACTCACAGCGACACTGGTAGTGCACTACTGAACGTAAAAATCCTATTTTAGAAGTCATGAAGGTTTGCAGGTAAAGCTAATTTTAAACTCAGAAAAAAATCACAAATGTACCCAAGAGCCTCTTAAACTCTTACATTAAAGTGACAATTGCTTTTAATTCTTACCCAGCCAAAGTTATTTTTGGTGGTGGTCCTGGAAGAGTTGATCCTGAGGGGAAAGCAGACCCGTTGAGTGCAGATGGTAAGGCCCCACTGTCGAGCTGTGTCAAGTCAAAGGCAAGCATAGTTTGAATTAGGATACATTTTAAAAGTTTATTATACCTCTCCCCCAAGGTATAGACAAAGATGATTTTCTTCTGGAGATTTATACCACGATCCCTTTACAACGACATCCAGGCCTTGTTGTCGCCATGGCTCTGCTAATACCCGAGCAGGCGCCAGCCAGGGTTTCAGGAGAAGCGAGAGGAGCCCAGCCCCTGTCGCCTCGCCCACCAGACCACAGGACGCCCTGGGTGAGAAAGCCTGACTGTGGGCGAAGCCCGAAGCAGGCCAAGGGCTCAGGGCCAGGCATCGACAAGCTGACAAGCAGCGCACACAGCTGTGAGCTGGTTGCCCAGTGTGATTGCAACGGACATCTTTTTCACTTTTATGAACTACAAATTTGGAAATAAATTCAATAACATATTTCTATAAACTAAACATGTTCTTTAATTATTATTATGTTCTTAGTATAACACATTTGAAATCTCATTGGCAACCATTACTTTTTCATCTAATCATAAAAATTTTGTAATCAATTTTAACATATTAAAAACCAGTGTCCTAATCTCTGCATTATCCATGTCCTTTGCTTTCTTGGTTCTCATGTTCTTTGATTGTATATTATCCATTCACATGGCTGATAGGGAAAGGAAAGGGTAGCAAAATCAACACTGACCTTTATTTTCTTATAAAGAAGCTTGAAGAAATTTTAACTGTTGAATAAGTTTAGATTTTGAAATTATTTGTGTATATCACAAACATCCTATCCTTGTCCCTTCCTCCCTGAAAACTTGAAATTTAGAAATCAGCTTTATTTAAGAAACACAGTTTTGGAATCTCGGTGGTTAGGTAGTCTGTGTAGTCTGGTGGTTAGGACTCTGTACTGTCACTGCTGAAAACCTGGGTTTGATTCCTGGTCAGGGAGCTTCCCTGGCGGCTCAGACGGTAAAGCGTTTGCCTACAATGTGGGAGACCCGAGTTCCATCTGTAGGTTGGGAAGATCACCTGGAGAAGGAAATGGCAACCCACTCGAGTACTCTTGCCTGGAAAATCCCATGGACGGAGGAACCTGGTAGGCTACAGTCCATGGGGTCGCAAAGAGTCAGACATGACTGAGCGACTTCACTTTCGGGTAACTAAAATCCCACAAGCCACTCAATGCAGCCAAAAAAAATAAAATAAAATAAAATAAAAGAGAAGCAGCATGATCTTGGGAAAACACAATTTATCTATCTTCCTTTTCTTTCTTCTGCTTCTTTTATCACTGTGTGTAATCATTCCCTGGTGGGGCCTGAAGATACTGAGAAACCACCCAGGGTCCAACTCCTTCATTACAAATCCCCCACCACAGTCTCACAGGGGAGTCACTGCCAGAACCGCCCTCGTGGGCCTTGGGAGAGTTGGGAGCTCTGCGTCCCTCTCCCCACTTTGCCAGAGGGAAGTGTTCACCAGTGACTGCAGCTGTTCCCTTTACAGTCACCCAGACGCCCAGTCATTGGGCCCACCTCTCCTCATGGCAGTCCACGAGGAGGAGACTTCTCTGGATTTTTGCCTTCTTTTGAGGAAATGATTTCACAGTTCTTGAAGTTGAGACAATTCTCTGAATAAGATATAATTTCTCTCTTTCTCTTTTGTTTAGCCCCGAAGTAAAGCAGAGAAAAAGAGATGTCCTTTAAGTAAGATGTCTTCTGTTGTATTCCACTTCTCCTGCTCCCTCCCTCTCACTTGCCCCAGCCCTACCCCATCAGCCCTGCCTGTCTCCATGGCCCGCAGAGCCCACACTGTGTGTGCTCTTCCAGGTGCAGTCACAAGGCGCACCTCTTCCTCTCTCTCCAGACTGCTCAGGTGTCACCGGCTCAGTGGCGCCGACACTGGCCGCCTTGCTTAAACTCGCCGCCTGCCTTCCTCCTCCCCAGGCTCCCACCTGCAGTGCCCCTCCTCTGCTCTCCTAGCAGGGTATAGTGTAATTTACTTATTGATTAGGTTTGCTTATTGTCTGTCTCCCACACTGAAATGTAAGCTGCGGGAGGGCAGAGCCACTTGTTCCGCTTTGATCTGTTTTGGGGGGTTCACTTAATATTGGCTCACTGATGTAACCCAAGTGCTCAGGCATGCTGCCCTATTGAAGGCCACCCTCTACAAAGGCCTGATACATGTTAGCTTTGCTCCAGCCCTCAGTCCACAGATATAACCAAGAATTGCAAGATTGCTGCTCTATGGAGCTTGTATTCCTGTGGGCGGATATAGGCAAACAAACAAACTGAAGAACACAAGACAGTGACAGTGTTGTGCAGAGAATCAAACAGATGGTCCAGTGGCCATCTACACTGGGGACGTATGGAAGGCTCTTCTGGAGAGGGGACATCTTACATCAACACTTAAGGAAAAGAGTACATTTGTCTTATATTTAATCTATGCACATGATGGTGTAATCATAAAAGCATTTTAAACTAAACAGCATTTTCCTGATGTGGAGGAAGGTGGAAAATATATATTCTAGACCAAGTGAGGGGTACATGCTGATGGGTGTCAGGACCACAAAGGACACATTCAGCAAATGGGGCAGAACTGGGGTCCAAAGGCCATAGGAATGGCCAGGTCGTCTCACAGAGCTGGCAGAGAAGGGGGTCTTAGACTCACCTTGGTACTCCCAGTGCCTGACATGGGGTGAAGGTGTTGGATACTTGGTTTAACCACTGATCGTAAAACAGAGGATAAATAAACTTTCTGAGTAATTCAAACTTCAGCAGTCGAAATTTCAAGAGACAATAATACCCTATTGTATGTTTTTTTATTAAAGCAGTAACTCACTTGTTGTGTAATGAGATTTAATTTTGCTGGTACTGGCAAAAATCTTCCTACTAAAGTAGTCATGGGTTTAGGGACATCTGTAAGGAAGACAATTACAATTAATTGATAGCATATATTTGCTATCAATTGCACATGGAAGAAAGTACAAAAATGATAAGGCATCATGAGTTTAACATGTGCAAAGTCATTTATACTTCTCTTGATCCTATTTATGTTTTCTATAAAACCTTTCTGGTCAATGTTTTCAGCTTGGGTTTGTTTGTTTGTTTTTACTTATTACACCTTTTTTCTTTCTCATAATGCTACTTAACTTGAGCTTTCAGGGATGTTATGCTATGAAATGTTGTCAGTGCCCAGGTTCCTAAACTCTGTGCCACGGTGCCCTCAAGTGCTGCAGCACTCACCAGGGAGGCACTAGATACCTCACATTTTCAAAGAAAGCAACAGCACCATCTGTAGGATTACACATGAACTACTTTAAATTTATGTGTATTCTTCCTCAGATGCTAACTTGTTGCTGCCGCTGCTAACTTCATAGGATGTAAATATCATTAGGATTTACATTAGGATTATATAAATACTCATAGGATGTAAAAACTCATAGTTTGCTCATTGGGAGCAAACTACTTAAGACTGGAACCGATACCTATTTCTTTGGTCTAAGAGCGCCATGAAGAACACCCATGAGACTACAGTCCCTGTGAAATTCCATGTTTGAGTGACAGGAGAAGTCTCCTGATTGCCCACCTGCTGAAGGCTCATGCCTCCTTTGAGTGGTGTTTCCTTGATATTTATGTAACTGAATGCATCTATTTCATGGTGATATTTAATGTGTACACAGTGACAAAGGAAACTAGGCTGGGGGCTGAGCAGTTATGATGATATGCAAGGAAATAGATGAGGAGAGCATTATGTAAATCTTCCTTCTGGAGATGATCTAAGGCATTAGGATTTTGTCGTGTTCCAGAAGGAAGGGAATTGGGAAAGAAGACTTCTCTGCCTGTGTAGAGAATCAAAGGCAGCTCTGACCCACAGGGACTGGAGCCAGAAAACCTACAGCTGGTGTGCAGCAAAGTGCACCTGGAGGCTCGTTGCATCATAGAAAAGTAAATGACTTAGAGGCATGTTGTCTGTCCCTGGATAAGGAGACTCTCAGGATGGAAGAGGAGTCACATTCTGTCTTTTTGCCCTGGGCTCCAAAGGCTCACTGAGATGGCACCAGGACTTAATATTGACTTAAATTATGACAAGGTCAGTGAATCATATGATAATGAAATACTCTGGTTAATTCAAGCTTTAGGGTAACACAGTTATGTACATAGTACACAGAGATGCCCAGTTTTATGTACATAGTACACAGAGATGCCCAGTTCTCGAGTGTTAGTGTCTAACTTTTGTAAACACAACATTACAACTATGTCATTTGACCTTCCTTTAATCATTCATAAGTCACTTGATGGTAATCAAGTAGTTATAGATTATTTATTATTATTGCATCAGTTTAAAGAAGTTTCTAAATAAACCAATGGCAGATAAGTCAGCATTTGATAGTTATTTCAGAACTCATGATGATTAAATCACAGTGGTGGTTCTCATTGACTGCATGAAAACATTTATATTAAAATGTATATAATTTTTGCCACATCTGAACAGTCAACCCATTGCCTAATCTGGGAAAGTTTGTTTCAACCCAGGTACCTCTGGCCACACCACTCATGGGTGCGAGTTGTTGCCTGTTAGGATCACAAAACTCTACAGCTAGCAGAAGGAGAGGACAGCCATCTAAGAATTTGAGATAGTCAGAATAACATACATAAATTAACCTATAAAGATATATTTTGCTAGTCTTAACTCACTAATATGGGCTGTAGGAGTTGCCAAATTGCCTAACTGCCTATTTCACTTTCAATTTATATACAAAGCCAAACATATTCACTTACCAACTTCCATGTGACATATGACATATTTTTCTATTAATTTACTTTGTACCTGACTGTAGATAATTATTTTGGTCTTGATACTGAGGAACCAAATGAAGTGCTTTTAGTTCTCTTGTGCCAGAACTGTCTATACACAGCATTTGTGTACCCCCTTTCAACTGACATATCACCTAAAATGAAAAATAATGATCAGGTTTCAATTTTAAAAAGATATCCAGTAATATGCATCTAAGTAAACTTAAATCTGAGACCACAGTTTTAATCCACAATTTAAGTTTTAACGGAAAATGGTTAACTATAGATATATTCTCGCTTTTTTACTCTATAATAACATGCTCGCTGGAGGGACCACAGAGCCAAAAAACCCCCGGGGAAATGTCTTGTGAGGTGTGTTCAGTGTGTTAACAGAAGTTCCTGCTCAAGCCTTTCTCTACAGGTATAGGCTTAGGGTAGGGAACAGGTGAATATGCGCCAGAGCTTCTGTTACCTGCCCACTGTCTTCAGGAATGGAGAGAGTGTGCTGATTTGCCCAACCTGGCCCCATTGAAATCCAGTTAACTATATGAAGGGCTCTGTCCCCCTGACTCCATTTCTATAGCTGGTCAACTACTTAGAATAATCTTTAAATTTATGACAGTTGTTCTTTTCTGCCACATGCACATGTTATTATTTAACATCTACTGTGTTTTTAAGATACCCATTTATTTCATTTCCTACAAGTACAGTTTAGAAAGTTTAATCCAAGTTCTGGAAAATTCCAAGAAGCCATGTCAATCTTTCTGGGCCTGACCAGCACCCTCAGATCATCTAGTTGGATTCTGACCATATATAAATCCTCAGCAAGCCTGGTGAATCAGCCAGCCCACCACACTAGTCAAGCCGAGCATGGACTCAGCCCTCCCTGTGTGCAGCCTGTCCCTGACAATGCAGCATGAACATGAAGGTGAGAGAAGTCACCGTTTCTAACTGCACATAGCTTCTAATTCTGATGTTAAAACCACAAATACCCAGAGAAGCTATGGTTTCTGTTGTCAGGTTGCCTTCGGGTTTCCTAGACAGGAAAACCCAAATAAGCTTAAAGGATCAATGTTACCAAAATAACACACATACAGCCTATATTAATGAGGTGCTGATCACCAGCTCACACCTTCATATCATCCTGACACTGGATAAGAGGCCAGAATTCATGTTCCATTGGAATTTTATTTGTATTTAGAGGATAATTATAGCCACACGCGCACAGGGGCACAGGCTTTGGCTGAGTGGACCGTCCAGGCCTCTGCCTATCGCACAGTTTTGGACTCCCGAAGGACACAATCCTGTCCCTCCTGTGAGCATTCTAGCATTACTCAGGAGTCCGGTGTAATTGGAAGAGCTCTCATCCTGTTCACCTGATCTAAGTGTCCCAGAAAAGTTCTGCCTATTCTCAAGTATTTTCCAGATAAAGTACACACCTTAGATTTAAGGTCTCCTTTCTTGAAACAGAGAGCTGATGGTGGGGACAGCAATTGGTTCTTTGGACATTTTGCCGAATGAATGCTTGGGGCTGGATTCCCTGTCTTCCCTCCCTTTTTGGTCCTCAACACACCACTTACAAGCAGGCTATGCAACATCTCTGTTTTCTGATCCATAAAATGTAGATAAAAATAATGTCTACCCTACAGAGTTTGTGTGTATTAGTAGCTCAGTAGTGTCTGACTCTTTGTGACCCCATGGACTGTATCCCGCCAGGCTCCTCTGTCCATGGGATTCTCCAGGCAAGAATACTGGAGTGGGCTGCCGTTTCCTTCTCCAGGGGCTCTTCCCGACCCAAGGATGGAACCCAGATCTCCTGCCTTTGCAGGCAGACTCCTCACTGTCTGAGGCACCAGGGCAGAGCCGATAGATTAAAGAAGATGGCGAACATGCAAACCTGTCACATAAGCCACAAACGTTACTGATTTCTGTCGTGCTTGAGTGTTAGTTGGTAGGAGGCATCTGGAGGCAGGCAGGGAGGAAAGCAGCTTCTGCCCTGCAGCCACAGAGCCGCAGCTGCCCCCTCCCACCAGCACGCCAAGCCACACAGGTCAGCAGCCGCTCCTTTCCTGGGCCAACCCTGGGTCTGCCTGGACTGAGGTGACTTACGGCTTCTCTCTTTAATGAGTACAGCAGTGTCCTAATCTTCGATTTACTAAGATAGAGTAGAAATGAGAAATTTAGACGTGAAAGAAACATTAGAAAGACTCTTAATTATGTACCTCTTTTCATATATAAGACAACCAAAAATGCTGACTCGACAAGTAAACAGAATGCAGAACAATGACTGAAAATATTTTACTGTTGACTTAGTAATGATAAGGGTCAAACATTTAACACAACGTTAGTCAGACACATTTTCTTTGACATAATTACCATTGGGTTAGAGTCTTTCTTATGAGAGCAGCCAGAGGCATCCTCTGCTCCTTGAGATGATGGGAACTTGCAACATGACTCCTGGGCCAGAGGATGCTGAAAAGTTGCTTCCTCCAGACTGTTACTTGTGATAGAACCACCTGCTTCCTTGATTTCAACCTAAAAAAGTAAACGTGATCTTAGAAATCACATTGTGGACACTACAGTTTACAGTTTATAGAAAATTCTTTGTAGAAGTTACATTTTTAAAGTAAAGAACACCCTTATGCTTGGCGTCCTCTCTTCCCCACTATTAATTCGTCCTCTGGGGCGACAAGTCATCTGACCATCCTGGCTGGGGATCGAGAACATCCAGAGGATCAGGACCATCTGCCCATGAGGTGTGGGGATGTGACTTCCATGTAACCCTCTTGCTGTTTGAAAAACATGGTGTGGGTAATTTGAGAAGATTCTGTGATTGGTCAGCTCCCCCTTGAGCTTCTTGACAACCCCCTACTACAAACGATCTGTCTGCCTCCTGGGACCTTCCTTAAAATTGCCTAAAATGCTTAATCATCATTCCTTAATCATCATTCTCAGAGCACGCTCATTAAGTTGTATTAATGTTCTAGTCTGTTTTGCTTTTTCCTCAGGAAGCCAGAAATCTTTGCTGATGTTTTAGTGATATTTATATTGTAACTTGGAGCTTCCCAGGTGGTGCTAGTGGTAAAAAAATCCTCTTGCCAATGCAGGAGACATAAGACATGTGGGTTTCCCTGAGTCAGGAAGATCCCCTGGAGGAGGGCATGGCAACCCATTCCAGTATTCTTGCCTGGAGAATCCTATGGAGAGGGGAGCCTGGCGGGCTACAGTCCATGGGGTCGCAAAGGGTCAGGGGCATGACTGAAGTGACTTAGCACACATGCATATTGTAGCTTACAATGTATTTATAGAAATGTTTACAATTAAATAGTAGAGCTTCCCTCACTGAATGGTAGAACAATAATTAACTTGAAAACAGGGAGGGTAGAGAATAATTGCCAGCTTTATTTTTTAAGCTATCCTCTGCAACACCTCAGCGATACACCAGCAAAAAAGTACCAAAACTAGGGAGAAACACCAATGATGTCATTGAAAATCAATGGAATTTAAAAAACTAAGTAGTCTCGATGCTTTAAAAAAATTACCAATTAAAGTGTTTCAAAATTATAATTATATATACATTATATCTATATATATAAATATATTATATATGTATATACTATATATACTATATATACTATATATACTATAATATATATATGGTCAACTAGCCAACTTCAACTAGCAAACTTCTATGTATAATATATAATACACTATAGATATAATATATATAATTATAAATATATTATTATATATAATATATATTATAATAACATATAATATATAATAATAATACTGTGATATATATTATAATAACATATATAAATATAGCATAAACAAATATACAATAGATATTATCATAATATATTAATATACCAATATTATATCAATTATTATATATTACATATAATATAATATATGATTATATATACTACATAATATATATTATATAATAGTCATAATATATTATATATTTATATATTTACATATTATATAATTATATTATTTATAATATACTATATACAATTATATCAACTATTGATATAATAATATATTTTATTATATAATTATAGTAATATTATTATAATTATATATTATTATATGTTACATATATTATATATAATATATAATTATATATATTTATAATTGTAATTATATATGTCCATAGTGTATTATGTATATTATATACATATTATATATAGAAGTTTGCTAGTTGAAATCAGCTAGTTGACTACATATATACTATATATATTATAGTAAATATATACATATATAAGAAATTTATATACTATAGATATAATAATTATAATTATAAATATATTTATTATATATTATAGATTATTATTATGCTATATATTATTATATATAATATATAAGTATATAATATATTATATTATAATATGTAATAGTTATAATTATAATTATATATTATATCTATAGTGTATTATATATATTATATATAGAAGTTTGCTAGTTGAAGTCAGCTAGTTGACTATATATATAATGTATATTATAGTAAATATATTATATACATATATATTTATATATAATATAGATATATATAATTATAATTATATATTTTTATCATTTTAATATTATATTGTTATAGTATATATTAAATTATATTATATACAATATATAATATATAATAAAATGTAATATACAGCATACATTAAATATATAATATACATAAATAATATATATTATTTATTATAAATTATAGTATGCAGTATATTATATATAATATAATATATAATATATAATAAATATATAATATATAAAATATAAAATATAATAAATGTAATATATATTATATATTATATTAATATATTGTTATATTAATATATTATATATTTTTAAGTGCTTCTTTTTAAAATGTGATAATGTAAGAAGATCAGGCAATAGCAGTCAACCCAGAATTTACATGGTCTCTCCCCCTCCTTAACCTTCATCTGCACAGACTGCCTGTTAGGACAGGTGAGTTTTCCCAAAGGCCAGGAGGCAGATCATAAAGTCCTTCAAAGAAGATGGTGATTCTAAGGTAACATTCTGAAGACCTTCTGTAAAATCACAACAGAGACAACTATCTTTCAAAGTGTGGGGATTGACTCAGACTTGAAGATCATCTGACTTAGAATCTGGGACCCAATTTATTATTTTCATGGACTGGCAAATCCCTTAACACAGCAGACTAGTATCTAGGTATAAATCTTTTTAAAGATATAGGAAAGTTTAGCAATATTTCAAGTTATAACTTTTTTTAGACATTTCAAATTTTACAGAAATGTAGAATTTTTCAATTTTCTTCTGCTTTCTGCTTTGGAGAATTTGTCATGTACATGTCATCAAAGTTTAGATTTTGGTTTTTAGGGAAGAATAATTTTATTTTTTAAATTTATCAAAGTTTAGGTTTAACTTATCTCCCTATAATTAACAGATACTTACACAGTAAATACATCAGTTCCTCAACCCCATGCAACTGATACCTGGACTACTTATAGTATAGTAAAACCCTACTTTTACAAAATAAACAGAGGTCAATATGTGAAAATGAATTTCTAGAAAAAAGAAATTAGCAACTGACCCTGAATATTTACTGAAAAATAATTCCATTCTGTTTAAATGATAAACATGTTTGTGCTAAATCTTTTTCATTTTATTAATAAATTTGGAAACTGTCAAAATAGAATCATGTGACTCAGATGGTAAAGAATCTGCCTTCAATGTGGGAGACCTGGGTTTGATCCCTGGGTTGGGAAGATACCCTGGAGAAAGGCATGGCAACCCACTCCAGTATTTTTGCCTGGAGAATCCCATGGACAGAGGAGCCTGGTGGGCTACAGTCCACAGCATCACAAAGAGTCAGACATGACTGAGGGACTAACACTTGGAATTGGTCAATAAAATTTAAAAAAAAACAGCAAGAAATATCATCCAAGTAGTCCCTCCTTTATTTTGCTAAAGTTGAATTACGTTAAAAGAGAATTTGCTATTTTAATTTCCCTTCCCGTTTCCCTGTTCTTTCTCTTCCTGTCCCTGTTTTCCCTTCCCGTTCTGGTGAACACCGAGTCCAATCGGCACAGGAAGGGAACTGTGCTTGGACGAATAGGCGAAAGGTGCTGGGGCACAAGTTTGGCCTGGTAGCAAGATGGAATGTCCGACACTTCAAGCCATCTGAAAAAGACTCCGAGAAAGACCTCTGTGCTGACTGAAGTCTGGAGGAACAAGGTGTGCTCGCCGGTTTCTCCAGGCCGCAGCCTCTCTTCCCCAACTTTCCTGTGCACTAAGGAGCAGTGATTACACTAAAAGAAAACCGGAAAACAGGAATCTAAGCTCCTGCTGCTATGGTTTATGATATACAAACAAAGTCAGGTTCCAGCCATCTTAATACCAACTCAAAAATGTTCCACACAGGCTTAATTTATAACTTACTAAAATTAGTGGTTGAGTAATCTGATTTTCCAAACTAGATCCTTTTGGGGGGCCAGTACACATTTCCTTGGAAATCCTTTTCTTCCTTTAAAAATTGATTTTTTAGTTTCAACAAAAACAGAAAAGGGGAATTCCCTGGTGGTCCAGTGGTTAGGACTCTGTGCTTTCACCACCCAAAGCCCAGGTTCAAAATAAATAAATAAATAAATAAGGACAAAGCAGAAAATTACCAGTGGTTATCCACAGCAAAATAGGGTAGCTGGCTGACAATTAGCATGAATTCATGTAGACTCTGATTTATATTACATACACTTGAGGAACAGCTACTTACTAGCAGAGGGAAGCTCTAACATCGTGATTTCATGGCTCACTGAACACAGGTACTAACTGTAAGTCCTACCTAGCAGCAAGTTCTAGCTGTGGAAAATTCTTAAAGAGATGGGAATACCAAGCCACTTTTCCTGCCTCCTGAGAAATCTGTATGCAGGTCAAGAAGCAACAGAACTGGACATGGAACAAAAGACTGGTTCCAAATTGGGAAAGGAGTATGTGTCAAGGCTGTGTATTGTCACCCTGCTAATTTAACTTATATGATGTATCATTCGAGATGCACATGAAGCACAAGCTGGGACCAAGACTACCAGGAGAACTATCAATAACCTCAGATAACAGATTCACCACCCTTATGGCAGAAAGTGAAGAAGAACTAAAGAGTCTCTTGATTAAAGTGAAAGAGGAGAGTCAAAAAGTTGACTTAAACCTCAACTTTCAGAAAGCTAAGATCATGGCATTCAGTCCCATCACTTCAAGGCAAATAGATGGGGAAACAATGGAAACAGTGAGAGATTTTTTGGCTCCAAAATCACTGCAGATGGTGACAGCAGCCATGAAATTAAAAGAAGCTTGCTACTTGGAAGAAAAGCTATGATCAACCTAGACAGCATATTAAAAAGCAAAGACATTACTTTGCCAAAAAAGGTCCATCTAGTCAAAACTATGGTTTTTCCAGTAGTCATGTATAGATGTGAGAGTTGTACTATAAAGAAAGCTCAGCGCTGAAGAATTGATGGTTTTGAACTGTGGTGTTGGAGAAGACTTTTGAGAGTCCGTTGGACAGCAAGGTGATCAGCCAGCAACCAGTTCATCCTAAAGGAAATCAGTCCTGAATATTCATTGGAAGGACTGACGCTGAAGCTGAAACTCCAATACTTTGGCCACCTGATTTGAAGAACTGACTCATTGGAAAAGACCCTGATGCTGGGAGAGATTGAAGACCAGAGGAGAAGGGGATGACGGCAGATGAGATGGTTGGATGACATCACCAACTCGATGGACATTAGTTTGAGCAAGCTCTAGGAGCTGGTGATAGACAGGGAAGCCTGGCGTGCTGCAGTTCATGGGGTTGCAAAGAGCCGGACATGACTGAGTGACTGCTCTGAGCTATGAATTACAACCCTTATAAATCTAAAGGGGAAAATATGTAAAAGGCCAGTGCATGAAAACTCATACTGCACTTGTTTTCACAGACACTAGGGCTTCTTCCCTAAAGCTGCTTTTAAAATGTTCTAGGGACTTCTCTGGTGATCCAGTGGTTAGGACTCCCATTTCCATAGCAGGGGGCACAATTTGATCCCTGCCTTCAGAGCTTAAAAAAAAAAAATTCTAGTTGTTTCCCTCTTTTGTTTTTAATCCCTGCTGGGTTAGGCCGTATATTTTTTGTTTTTTAAATATTTATTTGGCTATGCACGAGTTCTTAGTTGATGCACGTGGGATCTTAGATCTTCCTTGCGGCAAGTGGGATCTTGGGATCTTTAGTTGTGGCATGTGGGATCTAGTTCCCTGGCCAACGATTGAACCAAGGTCCCCTGGATTGGGAGTGTGAAGTCTTAGCCACTGGACCACCAGGGAAGTCGCTGAGTCAGGCCAGCTCTGACCTGGGGACGAAGGACCTAATTCACCACCAGGGAGGATGCTTGGCTGGCTAATGCATCTCGCTTTAGCAAGGGATGCACCTTGTTGGGAATGGTGAGTCCAATAACGATGCTGCTGACACAGGAAACATCGAGGTAAAAGGCGAAAGTCCTCCCTCTCTACTGGGGAATGGGAGCAGGGGGAGTTGCGCCATGTGGATCTTACTGGAATCACGCGGACACCGGGGTGGGCAGCTCCCTCCCTGGCCCAGGAGCCCAGGGGCACGACGGCAGAACTCCTGTGCGGGGTGAGCAGGGAGGACAGGAAGTGGACGTTGTAGGCCTGCGGCTGCGGCGCGGCAGGGAGAACGGCGTCTTCCAGGGGGTTGAGCTCCGGGAGGTTCGGGTACTCCCCTAGGAGTCCCTCGTCTTCGTTCTCATCCACCAGCAGCTCCACTTTGACCTTGCGCTGGCAGTCCCCGCCGAGCGCGGGGTTGAACGCGTGCAGCAGGGGCTCTTTGGAATCCGCAGGGCCCAGGTACGCGTCCTTGAAGACGTGAAAATCGTCTTCCTCGTGCTTTACCGCCACGGCAGTTTTCAGGGGAAGGTTTTCGGGAACAAACTGACTCTCGGCGCTGAAGAGGTCTGTCACCATCTCGTCTTCGGGGCTGGACATGCTGCCCAGCAGAGGGGCGTCTTCCATGGCCACTGGGGGCGCCGAGGCCCGGGCATCGCACCGCACCTGCAACGACGCGGCCCGGTCAGCGGCGGCCCCCAAAGGGCCCTGCAGCCATTCCGGGGGGCCCGCGGCTCCTGGGATCTGATCCGGTCGCCCGCCACTCCCAGGGTCTGGTCTGGGGGTACCCCGCCCCCAGGATCTGACCGGGGGCCCCGACGCCCCCGAGATCTGGCCCGGAGGGCCCGGCGCTCCCAGGGGCTGACAAGGAAAGGGTCTTGCGCCCCCAGGATCTGACCGGGGGCCCCGACGCCCCCGAGATCTGGCCCGGAGGGCCCGGCGCTCCCAGGGGCTGACAAGGAAAGGGTCTTGCGGAATGACAGGGGAAGAGCCCCGCCGTTCCCGAGGGGCCGACGGGGCCGGGGCCGCTGCTCCCAGGGACTGGCCTGGGGGCCCCGCCGTCCCTGGCGAGGACCACCGGAGAAGGGCTCCCTGCTGGCTCGACGGGCTGACAGGGGCGGCGTCCCGCCGCTCCCAGAGAAATGACGGAGGCGGGGTCCCGCCGCTCCCAGAGAAATGACGGAGGCGGGGTCCCGCCGCTCCCAGAGGGCTGACTTGGAGGTCCCGCCGTCCCTGACAGGGACGGAAGGAGAAGGGGGGTCCCTCCGCCCCCTCGAGGCTCACTAGGGGCCCACGGTCCCCCTCCCGTCTGCAAGCCTGAGGTCGGGCCCGGGACCGCGGGGAAAGCCGGCGACGACCGCAGTGTCAGGCGCTGGGGAGACGACGCACCTGGGCCCGCTGGAGTCGTCAGGGCACCTAGCACAAATGGGGCGGGGCGGGGACAAGCCGTTGGGGTGGCCGTTGGAAGGAGGCGGGGCCGGGGGCCGGGGCGGGGCTCGCGGTGGTGGGCGTGGCCGTGGCAGGGCACGTGGCATAGGTGGGGCTGGGTGAGAGGGTGGGACGTGTTGGGGGTGAGGTGAGAAGGCGGGGAGCAGAAGTGAGCGGGGCGCCGAATAATTGATGCTTTTGAACTGTGGTGTTGGAGAAGGCTCTTGAGAGTCCCTTGGACTGCAAGGAGATCCAACCAGTCCATCCTAAAGGAGATCAGTCCTGGGTGTTCATTGGAAGGACTGACGCTGAAGCTGAAACTCCAATCCTTTGGCCACCTCATGCAAAGAGTTGACTCATTGGAAAAGACCCTGATGCTGGGAGGGATTGGGGGCAGGAGGAGAAGGGGACGACAGAGGATGAGATGGCTGGATGTTATTACCGACTCGATGGACATGAGTTTGAGTAAACTCTGGGAGTTGGTGATGGACAGGGAGGCCTGGCATGCTGCAGTCATGGGGTCGCAGAGTCGGACGCGACTGAAAGACTAAACTAAACTATGGAAGGGCATGTGGAGGGCTGGAGGGGAGTGTTGGGCTGGGGCCCAGGACCTACCAGTTGAGGTGGACAGGGAGGGACACTCCCGGGGCCAGCAGCTCTAGGCTCAGGTGGGGAAACTGAGGCCAGTCCGAGGCAGTGACTTCAGACCCCCAGACTTCACCACATACTTTTCTGCCTGGCCATAGAAGACCGCAAGTGGGTGGAAAGCCAGGGGTCCACACAGGCAGGTGGGTTCCCAACCCAGCGTGCACTTGAGGTCTGTGGTGATGCAGCTCCAGACAAAGACTAGGCGTCCCTTGTTGACATAAGCAACCCAACATTGATGACGTTCTGGGGAAGAGGGAGGTGGTCAAGACCTAGAACTAACAAAGACAACCACACTAACACAGCGCAAACTTAGGGTGGGTGGTGAGCTAAATACACCCTCTTCATCAAGAAACAAGGTGGGGGTGGGTGGGATATGTGGAGAGCGTAACATGGAAACATACACAACCATATGTAAAATAGCCAATGGGAATTTGCTGTAGGACTCAGGAAACTCAAACCCGGGCTGGGTAACCACCTAGAGGGGTGGGATAGCGAGGGAGGTTCAAGAGGGAGGGGACGTGGGTAAACCTGTGGCTGATTCATGTTGATGTCTGGCAGAATTGTGCTTTACACAATACTGTAAAGCAATTATCCTTCGATTATAAATAAATTTATTTTTTCAGGACTCTGCAAAGGTACTGGACAAGGAATTGTAGAGGCCAGCAGTTATAGTTGCCACCCTTTTGTGTTCAACCTCAGGATGCTTCCCTTGGCCAAAAATGCACTAAGTCGTCTCAGGGTTCAAAGCATTCAGAGAGCAGTGGCAAGGCAGATCCACCAGAAGCGGGCACCTGGTTTCCATGACAAGTACAGTAAAATGCTGTATTAGCTAGTGGAGCCACTTTCTGTGTTGCTTTATGGGTATATATGGCAACACAAATTGGAATAGAGTGGAACCCATGACCTGTTGGCAGAGTCGCCCCAAAGGAATGGAGAGAACAGTAGTCATCCCAGCTGGTTTAATACTGAATTGTTTCAAAATCAACTCATAATTAATGCCAAGTAAAAGTACTATGTACCCATTAAAATATGGCATGTTGAAGAAATAACGTATACTCGAAACCTTCAAAAAAAGTGAATAAATTTAAAAATAATAATAATTTAAAAAAGGGGAAAGCTTGTCCTTGAGGCCTCAGCTCTAAATCAGCACCCTTCACAAGCCAGGTATTCTCACCGCACGCGCGCGCGCGCGCACACACACACACACACACACGTCTAGGAACCCTTAAGATCCTTGGAGAGGTTCTCTTGGTTCTTGACTTCCTCCCACTGGAGTATTTTTTAAATTGGAGTATAGCTGCTTTACAGTGTTGTGTTAGTTCCTGCTGTACACTGCGAGTGAATCAGCCACATGTACACATATATCCCCTTCCTCTTGGACCTCCCTCCCACCCCCACCCCCACCTCACCCGCTCTAGGTCGTCACAGAGCACCCGGCTGAGCTCCCCGCACTGTACGGCAGCTCCTACTCGCTGCTTTACACGTGGGAGTGTGCATGCCAATCCCCATCTCCGAATTCACCCCACCCCCCACCCCGTGTCCAAATGTCCCTTTTCTATGCCTGCGTCTCTATTTCTGCACTGCAGGCAAGTTTGTCTGTGCTATTTCCCACCACAGCCAGAACTGGTGGGGTTCCCGCTGTATTCCCAGTGCCTAGAACAGAGTTCAGCATACAGTAGGTGCTCAGTAAGAGCCTTGGAGAAAATGGAAATGCATTTACTGAGCCCCTACTCACCCTGCATCAGCACTGTTCCAGGCCCCGAGGCATAGAAGATGCAAAACGAACACAGAGCGAAACCCACAGCCCTTCTTAGCAGCAGCCCTTCTCCAACAGGCGCATGAGTCTAGTGAGTTCGCTCTGCCCAACCCGAGGCCCCTTCTGCACATCTTGGTCAGTCACCTTTGTCCCAAGTGCCTGACCTTTAGCTTCCTTATCAGTGTGACAAAAGAGACAGAAAGCAGTCCTGTGGTTAATATTTTTATTAATGGCAACATTCATACTGCATATCTAAGATTTACATCCGAAAGGGCATCTTGTATTTACATGCAATGGCCAGTCCAAGATAACAAATTCAGACCACAGCTCCGTTAAGACTATGGCTTGTTCCAAATTAAATTAAATACATTCATACTCTTACTTCCTGCGTTCAACACGTACAGTACAAACCCAGTCTTCTTCCTTTTAAGGAATATAAAATTGCATTGATGACTGCATGGATTAGTGATGATTACATCTGAAATATTTAAAACCTGAGAGACAAGCCCAAATAAGTTTGAGTGCTAACACGTCTGCTCTTGAATTCACCTGTGAATCATAATACAGACTGGTGAGTGGTCAACAGTGGATGATTTGGGGGCCCTGGCTTTAACTGGATGCCATGCCTGGCTGAGGCAGGGGGGCTCCCGTATCCTCTGACGCCCCCCAGACTACATACCACAGATGAACAGGGTCTTTTGTTGCTATGGTGGTTAGATGTCCTTTTTTGCCTTTTTTGTCTGTTCCCACTTCTGCTTGCTTTTAACAGAAAGAGTCTTTGGCCCATTTAGGTGGGGTTTTACATCACAACATGTACACGAATAAAACATGCACGCGCTCTGCGGCCAGTGCCTTGCTCCTGCTCCATTGGTTCAGCCTCATCACCGTATCACTGGGGTACAGGACTCAGAGACATGAGCCCCACCAGAACAGAGTGGTCAGAAAAATAAATACATGACTTAAAAAATGGACAGCTCAGCCTGTCGTGACAGCCCAGAGGCAGTGGGTCTATTTCACTCCATGATTCTTTCTTTTTGCATTAAGTACTGAAGATGATACAGCGTATCATCACTTTTTGGTCAATCACTCTTTCGAGCAAGGCATGCGCATCGGAAGGGTAGGCTGTGTTAAACTCAGCATCCGTCACCTGCGACATTATAGGAGGTCACTGAGATGACCCATCTCCCTCTGTCTCCCTGGAAACGGGAGTGGATGTCCTCTCTCACCAGGTGGGATGGCGAGCTCTGACTGCCTGAGGTTCGCTCTTCTCAAGTTTGTTCCTTTCTCCGTGGCAAGTGTCACGTTCTCCCTGCTGTCAGGCTGGGTAAGCAGGAATCCCAAAGCACCTAGGATGTGTGTTCTTCAGACATGCTATCTTCAACCATCACATCCCTCGCTCCCCATTTCTGACACATGTCTTCTTTCGTAGCTTAACAATGAAGCTTGAGGAAGGCAGTCTGATGGAAGGGAATCCAGCTTACAGCTGCCCTTGTATGGGGACTGGTCCCTCTGGGACATGGGGACACCACAGGAAAATTCCTATATAGAGATATCCACCCAGTAAATTGAGATGGGAGTGAGACACCCACAATTCCACCTAAAGACTTAAAATAAATCTCTTGTGTGGTCTCCCTTACACTTAGGGCCTTCTGTTTTTAAGGCACTGGGTTTTGAAGACTTCAAACACGTAAAGGCAAATGCAGATGAAGAACTAGACAGTGACAGAGTGACCACAGGACAGAACAGATTCCAAAAGCACAAAACTTTTCTTGATTAGTGCATTGCATGTGCGTCGGCTATTAGCTGCTAACATCTGCAACTTAAAAAATGCTTCTCTCGGAAGGAAACAAATGTTTACACTGCTCTGATCAAATTAAATGCCTATAAGTACCAGGTGTCCAGTGGCAGCCAAGGAAGCGTGCCGGTCTGTTTCCAGCGAGCATGAAGCCACAACCCCACTCATTCCAAAAATCGCTTGTCCCTTAAGAAATGTACGGTGATGGGAAGACTTTAGGGGGAACTTCATCCAATGTCCCCCAGGTTAGGAACTGTTTAGAAGGAGTAGGGTTATACTTCATGGCGTGGAGCCTGCTGTCCTAGAAAAGCAAAAACACCAAACCTTCACTGGAAGGATACAAATTATCATCCTGAAATACAGTCAGGATACAGAGCTATTTTTCATTTGGTTTTTCATCAGAAGAACTTCTTTTCCTTCCCGGAAGTGCTGAGAGATTTACTTCTTGGAATTGGGGCTGAACCCGAACAAACTGATGATGTCGATCATTGCTTCTCTCAGGTTCTTCCCGAAGCGATGAGAATCCTTTCATTTAAAAACAAACAAACAAAAAGAAACTGGTTACGATGTGGAATTTTTCACATTTCAAGCCTTTTCACTTGTAATCTGACTCAAAGAACTAGCATTCCTTTTTGCCAGTTTTCTAAGCTTTGACTCAGTGATCGAATCATTAAGTTACAGAGTCTGGTGAGATGTTACGGGTTCATAAAGATAACAGCTTACGTGTTTGTGTGGGTGCGTGTTTTTTCCTTTCCATGGTAGGTTATTATTAAGAGACACTGACTATAGTTCCTTGGGCTATACAGTATGACCTTGTTGTTTACCTATTTTATATATGGTTGTATTTGTTTTGAGATCTAAGGTGCTTTATTTTTTAAAAAAAACAACTTATTAAGGGTAGTGTGAACAGTACTTGTCTTATTCTTGTCATATAACAATTCACAGAGCAAATATAACTTCTATGCCTCTGCTAATTGTCACACACCTTTTGAAGTTTCCATTAGCTCCCAACACCTTATCTTTCATAGTGAAACGGCTTTAATAGTTATTTTTAAAATTTAATTCTTATTTTATATTGGAGTACAGTTGATTTATAATATTGTGCGAAGTTCAGGTGTAGAGCAAAGTGATTCAGTTATACGTAACAAAGATATCCATTCTTTTGCAGATTCTTTTCTATATAGGTTACTATAAAGTATTGAGTTCCCTGTGCTATACAATAGGTCCTTGTTGATTACCTATTTTATATATAATAGTGTGTATCTGTTAACCTCAAACTCCTAATTTATCCCTCCCCACCCCCTTTCCCCATTGGTAACCATAAATTTGTTTTCTATGTCTGTGAGTCTATTTCTGTTTTGTAAATAAGTCCATTTGTATCATTTTATTTCTACATATAACCGATAACCATATGATATTTGCCTTTGTCTGACTTCATCTAGTGTGATAATCTCTAGGCCCATCCATGTTGCTGCAGATGGCATTATTTCATTATCTTTATGGTTGAGTAATATTCTAGTGGTGTGTATGTATGTATATATGTGTGTGTGTATATATATATCACCTTTTTATCCATTCATCAGTTGATAAACATTCAGGCTGCTTCCATGTCTTGGCTACTATAAATAGTGCTGCTGTGAACATTGGGATGCATGTTACCTTTTTTCCCTAATGTCAATGCATTACATAAAGCATAATAAGCAAGTGAATTCCAAACGTCTCTGTTAAAGGTGAACCTGGCACAGACTGTCAGGCGACGTACAATGTGGAAAGGTGAGAATGTAAATCAGGATTAAATGTGCCATGCTAGGAACGAGGTCACGGGTTCCGTTCAGAGAACACCGCAGACCACTGCTGCATTATGTGTGTGAATTACTCAGCTCACGCACACAGATCTTAACTCGACCCTTCAACGTCTTGTGCCTGCCAAGTCACTTCCATCGTGTCCGACTGCGATCCCATGGACTGTGGCCCGCCAGGCTCTTCTGTCCATGGGATTCTCCAGGCAAGAACACTGGAGTGGGTTGCCATTTCCTCCTCCAGGGGATTTTCCCCACCCAGAGATCTAACTAATGTCTCTTACATCTCCTGCATTGGCAGGCAGCTTCCTTACCACTAGCGCCACTGGTGGGAAGCCAACCATTCAATGTTACAGAGAGTCTAAACGTTGTAGAAGCACGGCAACATTTAGATTTGAAACCACAGCTACCAGCAAAGATGAAGACTTTCAATCAAATAAGATGGATCCCTTTAAAACTATTAAAATCCTTGCTTTGAAAACATCCCAACCAAGGAAGAGTATACAACTGAATTGAAATTTTCTGCCACATCAGGGATTTGCCCCCTACCCACCGCCTTCAAAAGAAAATAGTACAAATACTCCATCCTGGGAAGGGGGGGGGGAACTTTTGTACTTACCGTCTCAGGACAGGAGAACTTGGAGGATATATGGAAACTGATGAAGTCCTCACCAACGGGAATGTACGACACCCCATAGCCATCATCAGCAACCTATAGAAAAGCACATTCAAGCTGAACCTGGGGGAGTTCCCTCACCAGGGTGAGGTGGTCCAGTGCTTAGGGCTCTGCACCTCCACTGCAGGGGACATGGGTTCGATCCCTGGTTGGGGAACTAAGATCCCACATACCATGTGGCGTGGTGAGGGAATGGATCATCAGAATGGTGGAAATGAGGCCATGGGCAAAGGGGATTTCGGACCTTTAATGAGATTGCCACTAATACTGGCATGAATAACCAGTAGGAGCTCCTTCAGGGCGGGGTGCTTATAACTGAGACAGGCCCATCCTGCCCTGGCGCTTGCTGCTTTGTGAACTCAGATGCCCGGCCACTTACCGGCCCGAAGCCTCCTCCGCTCGACACGTAGTCCGGATTCCTATCCAAATTGAACAGCTCCACCAGCTGTGGAGGGGTCTGGCTGGTGGATAATCTCCAAGGCTCAGATAGGACCTGGGGAGTTAAACAAGGGGACGTTCTAATGACACTTCCCAGTTCATTCCTTTCTGCCCCCAAGGAGCCCAGGAGACGAGGAAAGGTTTGCTTGGTGTTTGGACTGTTTCAGACACCAGAGGCTATGGCCCTGGGGGCCTTGCCGGCTCTCGGGGCAGGGGTTCTCTGGAGAGGGATGGAGCGGGTGAGGACACCTGGACTAGAGAGGCAAACACTGGCTGACGGGGTCCTGGGCAGAAAAGGTGGCAGATACATGGAGTACGATGTGGAATGCAGCAGCTGTGTGCTGGAGCAGACTGGTACCAGCTCCCTAAGCTGAGGGCCAAACTTCCAGGAATTTTCCAAGCTGCCCATTAAACACAGCCGCTGCTAAAAAATTGAATTTTATAAATATAAGAGTAAAGCAACTATATTAAAAGTGAAAGACGTAAATACTCAGAGCTCAGGACTTCCCTGGCTATGCAACGGTTACGACCCTGGGCTCCCACTGCAGGAAGCACAGGTTTCAATTCCTGGTCAGAGCATTAGATCCCACATGCTCTGCAGGGTGGTCAAAAAAAAAAAAAAACCACCTCAGAGCTCATCAGTTCAGTTCAGTTGTGTCTGACTCTTTGCGACTCCATGGACAGCAGCACGCCGGGCCTTCCTGTCCACCAGCTCCCGGAGCTTACTCAAACTCATGTCCATCGAGTCGGTGATGCCATCCAACCATCTCATCCTCTTTCGTCCCCTTCTCCTCCCACCTTCAATCATTCCCAGCATCAGGGTCTTTTCAAATGAGTCAGTTCTTTGCATCAGGTGGCCAAAGTATTAGTTTCAGCTTTAGCATCAGTCTTTCAGAGCTCATCACTTGATAATTATTTTAGTACAAGCATGGTTTTCCCAGTAGTCATGTACAGATGTGAGAGTCAGACCATAAAGAAGACTTTGCACTGAAGAATTGATGCTTTCAAACTGTGGTGCTGGAGAAGACTCTTGAGAGTCCCCTAGACTGCAAGGAGAGCAAACCAGTCAATCTTAAAGGAGATCAACCCTGAATATTCATTGCAAGGACTGATGCTGAAGCTTCAATATTTTGGCCACCTAGTGTGAAAAGCTGACTCAATCAATGAAAGAGACCCTGATGCTGGGAAAGATTGAGTGCAGGAGGAGAAGGGGGCAACAGAGGACGAGATGGTTGAATGGCACCACTGACTCAATGGACATGAGTTTGAGCAAACTCTGGGAGACAGTGGAGGACAGAGGAGCCTGGTGCGCTGTAATCCATGGGGTTGCAAGGAGTCTGATGTGATTTGGCGACTAAGCAACAATGGCATCCCAGGGGTTGGAGAAATGTGGCTCAGATTTTCCAGAGTGAGGACCGCTGAGCCCTGGAACCCATCTGATAGGCCAGTTCTGACTGGCAAAGTTGTACTAAGTTTTACTAAGTTTTGCCCTAAGATTGACTAAGTTTAGTTTAGCCAAGAAAGCCAAGTGGGCTGCACAGAAGGGCCTCACCTCCTTCAGGAAAGGGGAGTCGACAGCGAGGTACTTGGACACCACGTAGAGGCAGAAGAGGTGGCGGTCAATCCCCGCGCCAGTCATCGCCAGGCGGTACAGAAGCTGATGCTTCTCAGATGCGATCTTGAATAACTTGAGTTTCTGTTCAACCTGAAATAACAAAGGATAGGCAGTTTCGAGTCGTGCAGCACGGTCTAAGCTCCAAGATGACGGTCACGGGCCCTTCCTTCTCCCCAGCGGTCCAACAGGGTGCTGAGACAGCAGGTCACCGGTGGGGCGGGCAGGGGGTCTGGGTGGTCTCTGGGTGGTTGCCAAGGCAACCTGACCAGAAACTCCACTGGCCGGCTGCCCCTGCCCCAGATTCCTGCTGCGAGGCTGTGGAGGGGACAGGTTGTTGGAGAGGCAGTTTCAGGATCCTGTGTGCGGCCCACTGGGCGTCATTTCACCTTTTACAAAAACGAGACCACTAAGCAGGTAGGAAAGCGCCAGCCTTCACATCTCATCGTGTGGAACCAAGTCCCTTTCCTCTCAGGGGGCTGCGACATTCCTGTGGGCCTTTAAGTAACCCTCCAGGGTGGGCTGGCAGCTGGGCCAAACAGCGCTTCTGGGGCCTACAAGTCGGACCCGAAAAGGTCTCTCCACGTTCTTTAGGGCCCTGTCGGTCAATCTCAGAACGAGGAGACACAAGCCCTTCCGTGGATGTGGAGGCCTATCTACTCCAGACCCAGCCCTCAGGCTGTTCTGAAGGCAGCTAGTGACAGATCAGAGCCATCTGTGATGAGACCTGCCGAGCTCCTCCCCAGGGAACTGACAGCCTTTCCAGGAAGGTGCTCCCCAGAGCAGAGCAAAACCCCGGGCCGTGTCCCCTCGGGGGTCAGCAGACCCGGACAGGATGGGCCTCAGCCTCTCACTGGGTGTGTGGTCAGAAGTTTGCTGGATTCTGCTAAGTCTCTCTTCCTTTATCTATCAAAAACAAACTGATAAAAAAAAAAAAAAAACCTGATAATGCTTCACAAGCCGCCGCTAGGACTGTCAAAGGCAATATAGCCCAGAGCCCTGAGCCTGCTCGGGGGGCTTCAGTGTGGGTAGTGGGCTTCATGAACCCCGGGCAGAAGGTGTCTGTGTGGGGCTTCCCTGGTGGTCTAGTGGTTAGGAATCCACGCTCCCAATGCAGGAGTTGTGGGTTCAATCCCTGGTCAGAGAACTAAGATCTCACATGCCATAAGAACCAACAAAAAACAGTAACAATAATAATAACAAGACAAGAAGGCGCCCATGGACGGTCACCATTTTCTCAGCCAGACACCAACTACCAGCACTCTCCTGACCCCTCCCCTCCCATTCCTGTGTTCACCGCCTGCGCACCGCTCTGATTTAAAGACTCTGAGGGGGCCCTACCTGACGCTATGAGCCTCCCGTGCAGGGAGCCCAGGTTTGATCCCCGGTCCGGGAAGTAGATCGCACATGCCACAACTAAAGATCTCGCGTGACTCAACTAAGACCCGGTGCAGCCAAATAATAAAAAATAAATAAATATTAAGAGACTCCTATGAAGTATAACCTCACTTGTAGAAGTTATAGAATAACAGGATGGATGCAAACATGAACCTTTGTGTCTGTCTAGATGGTTGCCTTTAATACTCTGTCCTCCCGAGATGGGTGGAGGGAAGGAAGGAGATGCTGGATGCGGACTCGCTGGAGAAGTATGCATGGGATTTAATCAGGGAAGTCTACATGTCAACCTCGGGTGTCATCCTCTGAACAACAGACGGCCCCTGGGGGGCTGTTCTCCTCCTGGCCAGGCAGAACCTACCGTCTGTGTGGGGTCCATCATGGCCAGCACGAAGTTGCACGACTCAGTGGTGCAAGAACGCACGGTCTCTGTTCTGCCCTCTCGGAAGAGCCGGGTCATGGAGGCCTCGTAGGTGAGGGAAAATTTACCCATATCCTGGGAAAGGAAAAATATTTTAACACAAGGCTGGGCGTGTTGACAAAGACATGAGGGGAGCGGTTGAAGTCAGCCAGGAAAAGCAGACATCATCGCAGAGGCAGTTTTTATTGTCAGTTTTCACACGGGCTTATGCAGCACGCAGGTGGAAACGTCACTAGCTTTGAAAAGGGAGGGAGGGTCCAGGTTTCCGTGTCCAGATGCGACTGGGGCCATGACCCGGTTTCCGGATCTCACATACCTGCCCGAGTGCAGACGTGGTTTTAGGAAGAATATGGTACAGTACCGGGAACTGCATGCAGGAGCTGAGAATGACTTAACTCCAGGTCAGGAAGGTCCTCCTCTGAGGGGGCGGGAAGTGGGTGGGTGGCCAGTGCCTGCAGCACAGAGTCCCCCACCCCGGCCATTAGACAAGAGGGAGAGAAAGCAGGAGGGAACGGCTCTGCGGGGCTGGCAGACGCTGAGGGGAGCAGACGGGGTCTCTTTAGAACATTCACTTTCTTGGTGAAATACGGAATTTCACCTCCTAAGAGAAAGAGGGTGGAGGGGAGGTGCCGGGAGTCAGCAAAGTGGTGTGAAACAGGCTCTGGGGGTGTAGAGAGTGGGTGACCTGGGGCCACCGGCGTCAGGGCTCATGGGTTGAGAAAGATGAGGCGCGGTGTGGGGGGTTGCTCGGGCTGTGTCGGCTTCTCAGCGCAGCATCAAAGCAGGCAGACACTGGACTGACCCGGGGGTGTGTCCGCTGTGCCTGGGGCTCTAGGACAGAGGTCGGGGTGATAGCGACAGGTGGTGGAATCTAAGCCCGAGAGGCAAAAAGGGAGGCGAGATAGATGGGGAGAGGGCAGGGCAGGATGGAGACTGCGATAAGGAATGCTGGTGTCAGAGGCCAGAGGGGAGACGGGATGATGCAAAGACCTGGGTGACGTGTGGACAGTTCCGCAAGGGCCCGAGACAGAGGTGGCCAGGGATGACGAGGACAGGCACAGGTCCATGGGGGCTTGGGGTGGCCCACCACCTGTGATGCCGGCGGAAATCACCCGCAAAGGCCCAGCTCGAAGATGACCGGGTTCCCCGTGGGGACGGCAAAGCGCTGAGCAGCAGGCTGTGGACCCAGGTTACTTCTGACCAGACAACGTCCCTCTGGGCATTTGGGTCCTGGTGGCCCCAGGGTGACAGGGGACACCTGCAATAGGCTGACACTGTTCATCCAGGAGATGGCAAGGCTGCACTTCTGACGTGCAGTCCAGACCTGTGAGCAGCCGGCTGGTCGGCAGACTTAACAGTGGCTGTCCCCACCACCCTGCGTGGTCAGGGAGGAAGCCAGCTGGCCACGGGTTCTGAGTGCCGTCCCAGCCTCCGGTGGGCACCCCCCACACCCAGCACAAAGACCCGCCGGCTCATAATCTACTCATCCTCTAACACGCTGGCTATTAAATTTCCCTTGGATGCGGTCTGAGAGATTCTAACCCCTCATCTGGCCTACAGAGTCTAACTAAGGTCATTTTACCAAATATGCCTTTCAGAGAATTCCCTGTAGGAGGGGAGCTTACTATGGGGGGCCTTCCAAGGGTCTTATCATAAAGCACTGGGGAGCCTGGAAGGAAGGAGGGGATGAGGAAAAAGAATAAACGTGCTATTTTAGTCATTTAATACAGGTTATCTTGGGGTATATGATGCAATGATTTATTTGAAGTCAACTTTCCAACATCAAACTTTAACCATATAAGTGGTTAGTGCAATCATGCATTACACCCACAATTTTTTAATGACCATCTAAAAACCTCATGGCCTATGCACTGAATATTAGTGTACTCAGACCCCAAGCCGGGTTATGGCTACACACACTTAAACTGCTATGACCAGCCACCATCCCACCATCAGGAGAGAGGCCATTGCCAAAACACCTCCAGTGTCTAACCAGCAGGATCAAAAGACAAAGTCTATAAAGACATTAACACACGCGGCGTGAGAACACAAATCTTTTGCACACTTGGATTGCTGCCCTGGAGCTAACTGTTGGGATCGGTGGCATTTGGGGGGTAACCTTCACCTCTGTTTTCCAAGTGAGAAATAAATATGACCCCAAAACAGGAAGCCAATAGCTATAGCCTAGAATTATGACCACGGCCCAGGTCTTCATTAAATCAATTGCTCAGTATGTATTTACTGATGCCTCTTCCGTGGTGGCTATCACATTCCGGGCACTGGGATGCGCTGGCAAAGGAGAGAGATCACATTCCTGCCCATCTCCAACATTCTAGTGGGAGAGATGAACACACCTCTGACGTCGTGGAGTGACAGGTACAATGCACAGAAATAACGCACGGTCGGGGAAGAGCATGATGGGGAGGAGGGTTATTTATTTGTTTTTAATTTTTTTTTAGTTTTTGGCTGTGCTGCACAGAATGTGGGATCTTACTTCCCAGACCAGGGTTTAAACCTGAGCCCCTTGCATTGGAATTACAGTCTTAATCACTGCATCACCAGGGAAATCCCAGTAGGGCTCTTTTAAATAGGAGATCTAAGCAACCCCACCTTGATCTGGGAGGTAGTGAGGACTTCCCTGGCAGTCCAGAGGTTAAGACTCAGTGCTTCCAATGCAGGGCATGCGGGTTCTATCCCTGATCAGAGAACTAAGTAAGATCCCATATGATGCAATGCTAAAAAACCATTAAAAAAAAAATCTGGGAGTTATTAATTGCCAGTGCAGAGCAAGTGCAAAGGTCCTTTGGTGAAACGAGCCCGGCACATTCAAAAGCAGCAAAAGGAGGGAAGAGGCTCAGAGAAGCACCAGAGAAGGTCAGTATAAGGACCAAATCAAAGGTGACTAACTCTGGGGATGTGTAAACTTGGATGGAAAATACGCATAGTTTTTTAATTTCACAAAGTGAAATTAAACCACAAAGTGAATTACAGCATTTAGAAGCATAGGCAACAAATCACAGGAGTTATGAGCAGTGCCTGTGATGCTGAATAGGAAAAAAAAAAATCACAGCTATTTTCACATCAAATTATGGCAGCTCAGTGGTAAAGAATCTGCCCGCACTGTGGCAGACCTGGGTTCAATCCTGTGTTGGGAAAATCCTCTGGAGGAGGGCATGGCAACCCACTCCAGTTTCTTGCCTGGAGAGTCCCCATGGACAGAGGAGCCTGGAGGGCTGCAGTCCACAGGGTCCGAAAGAGTCGGACACGACTGAGCGATTAAGCGCACAGCATGTGGTTACTGCAGATATCCCAAAATAGCATCTCAGCTTATCACTGCTTCAAGTTAAAGGCACTTATCAGACCTGCTGCTTGAAAGTCAGTGCATGAACAATTGGGCTTCCCTGGTGGCTCAGTGGTAAAGAATCCACCTGTCAGTGCAGGAGACACGGGTTCGATACCTGATCCAGGAAGATCCCACATGCTGCGGAGAAACTAAGTCCGTGCGTCACAACTACTGAGCTTGTGCGCTAGAGCTCGGGAGCCACAACTACTGCGCCCACGTCTGGCAGCTACTGATACCCCATGCCCTAGAGGCCGTGCTCCACAACAGGAGAAGCCACCGCGATGAGAAGCCTGCATGCCAACTAGAGGGTAGCCCACGCAGCAAGGAAGACTCAGCACAGCCAAAAATAATAAAAGAAATAAAACTGTATCCAAAAAAAGAATCACAGCTACTGTACCACAAATAGACGCTTACTATTTGGACACCTGCATGAAAATTAACTGGTTACTTTTGTAACCCTATGCATTTCATTTTATGCTTTCTAAACATTACTCTGAGAAGGGATCCCCAAGCCTTTCTCCAACTGCCCAAGGGGTCCAGGGCACAAAGAAGGTTAGGTGGCTAGAGCAGAACCCCCCCCACCACCCCAGGGCCACCCAGAATGTCTGGATTTGTACAGGAGCCCCTGTGAGGCCCTCCAGCCCAGAGCTGGGCAGAGACGGGTCTGTGACTGCCACAGCGAAGCCTGTTCCTAACAGAGCTGGCCTTCCAACAGGCCTGCAGGAAAGAACTTTTGAACAGAGGAGTCTGCTTTAAACTCTTAATAGACTTCGGTCAATCATTTTTAATAGACGAGTGCCACATGAGGAACTGGTAGAGGGGTGGGAGGCCAAGAATGAAATTCTGGCTGTTTCTAGCCAGAGTGCAAAGAATAAATATAACTGCTTGGGTTATTAAAACAAATAATCAGTGTCAAATTAACTGTTATGTGATTCCATGGAACTATTCTAGCACCAAAACTATACTGTGTTAATCACTATAAGCTTCTGATTTCTATATTTTCAGCTTTGAAAGAGCAAGTCTCCACCTCACCCTGCCCCATCTCCACCTGACAACCTTTCCTTTTCAAAATATTACCGGTTATCCTCAAATGTTAGCCCTCCATTTGAACTTGAAGGTAAACCAGCCCAGCCCCTCTCCTAAAGTCTTCTGCTGACCTCTGACGATGTTCACAGTGCATGTGTGAACCGGGGACATTCATCTCCAAGGTGCTGAGCCTTTCTGTCCAAAATCACAGCCTTCCCTCCCTCTCCGGGGGGCCATTCCTTCTTCTAGGCTCTGGGTCTTTTCCCCAAAGGTCCTGTCTGCCTTATAAAGAGAGACTTGGGGAGTCCCAGGTTTTTGCTTCTAGCTCATATCACATTTTCCCACCATGATTCCTGATGGACTATCACAGTGATGAGACAAAGATGCTGGTCTTTGTATAATTCTGCACCAGACCGCCTTACTGAGCAAGCTTCCTAACCATAAAAGCTTTCCCGCCCGCTCCATCTTCTGAGCAGATGTGCGAATATTTCTTCTGCCCAGTGATCCTGACAGCTGCACTCACGCCCTTTAATGCAAAGACATTCAAGAACAGCCCCTGGAGGTTGCTTCATCCTTCCTGCTTTAATGGGGCTGCCTCCACACTCCACCTCTGAGGAAGACCCTGGCTGCTGGCACACGATGAGATTTACTGTGTTAAGGAGATAGCCCCTATGCTAAGAGTTACTGAGTAGGGATGCTCCATTATGAATGCCTCGTCAGCATCTGTCAAAATGACTGGCTTCTTCTCTGAGCTAGCAACATAATTAAATCTATTATTTTATTAAAGCAAACCATCCTCCTGCCACTGGTGTTAGCTATTGTTGGCTGCTGAATTTTCCTTATACTGGTTGATGCTATTAGCTATTACCTTATTTAGACTTTTTGCATTTGCATTTGTGAGCAAAACTGGTCCGTGGCTGTCTTTTTGTGCATCCATCAGCTGTACTAGAGTCGACTTAAACTACAGTTGTGGCCCATCTGTTGCCATTTATCTGATACTAACACTGCCTCTTGTGGTGTACTGCATCTGTTTATCTTCCTGACCTGAGTTATAGAGGAATCGAAGCTACAGGCTGCCCCCAGGACCCATTCCTGACTCCAGTATCACCTTGGCAGCTGGTCAGCTCACCTCTTGGAGTGAACCCCGATTTTCTCAACCAGTAAAATGGGCCAACTATAGAGACTTCCTAGTGAGGAGACTATGAGAGCTATGTGAGTAGAGCACGGAGACCAGTGCCTGGCACAAAGCGAAATTCACACAGCAGGACCACCACCCAGAAATGCTGCCCTGCATCCATGTACAACCCCCAAGCTTTGAAGACAGAAATTCTCCATTAAAGCCAGGACATATCTTGACCCAATGCCACAAGGACTTCCACTGCCCCTGGAAACCAGGGCCACCCTTTCAGGGTGGAATGGTCCCTCCAGTGGAAAAGAGTCCCACTGAGGTCCTCCAGGGCCCTGGAAACATCACAGGCTTCTGTGCATACAGGGACCCCATCCATCCCAGAATACCTCCCATGGGGCTGGTGTATCCCCTCCTATGGAAGAGGATGTCAAGGGTCAGAGACCTCCAGTTGCCTGCCCTAAGTAGTTCTGCTTTCCCAAATCCTAGGATTGGGAGCTTACATGTCTAATTCCTGCTTTGTAGAACGAGGAGATCTCACTTGCCTACCAACCCCTACATTCTGCCTCTCCTCCCGTGTGAAGCGGGAACCCACTGCCGTTCCAGGCACGACTAGCTCGCATGACGGGTCCTCCCCTACTCGCTGGGCGGGCAGGCTTGGGCCTGCGTTCAGGGCCCCCAGGAGTGCTCAGGACAAAAAGCCCAGCTGGGTGGGAGGGGTCTCACCTTGTAATGAGCCAGCTGGAGCGAGAGCTGCACAAAGGCGTCCGGGCTGGTTTTACATTTCTTGATCAGCCCTTTACCGAAAGTGCGGAATGGGAAGGAGTGGAAATCCACGTCGTTGGCCAGGAGGTTGGCGCTGCTCAGCGAAGTCTCAATGACCTCCTGACACTTGGGGAAAAAGGAGAAAAGGCTTCACTTTAATGGGCGGGGAAGTTCTGACACAAACTGAAGAAAACGCAAGCTGAGCTGACAGACAGACTTGTTGCTTGGAAATACATACATCACGCTTACTTCTTGGTTTTTCCCAATCTTTCTAACCTGAGAGTCGCAGTAAGTTGGTAATGTGGCACTCCCCCTCACCCCTCAAACAGCAATGGGGTGGCCCACACAGGAGGAACTCCTGGTCCCAGTGGGACCCCCAGAGGGCATTTCAAAGAGTCACAGGCTTTGTTTCATGAGATCCATTCTTGTTATATGCTAGCCATTGAGGGACCAGTTATAAAAAAGAAATGGACTGGGATCTCCCTGGTGGTGCAGTGGTTAAGACTCTGTGCTTCCACTGTAGGGGGTGCAGCCTTGATCCCTGGTTGGGGAACTAGGTTCTCACATACCAATTGGCACAGCCAAAAAAAGAAAAAAAGAAAAAAAGGATACGGACTGTGGGGCAACTGTACAATAGAAGTGAGTCCTCAGCCGTGAAGTCATGCAAGGGCTCTTAAATGCACATGACTAAGGGAAAGAAGTCATTGAAACAGCTCCACACATGCGATTCCAGCTGTCTGACATTCAGGGAGAGGCAACATGATGGAGCCAGTGAGATCCCGCCTGCCAGGAGCAAGGCGGGAGAGAGGGATGAGGGGAGGCTTTAGGGCAGGAACACTGCTCTGCGTGTCATTATATCTCTGTCCACACCATAGATGCACAACAGCAAGCGTGAACCCGAATGTGAGCTACGAGCTTTAGTGATACTGACGGGTCAGTGCAGCTTCATCACCTGTAAGACACGGACCAGCTGGTAGGGATACTGGTAGTGGGGGTGGCTGTGCGTGTGTGAGGACAGGGAGAGTGTGGGAGAACTCTGCACCTTCCACTCGGATTTTGCTGCGAACCTAAAACCCCTCTAAAAACTAAAATCCAGCAAAAAAATCTTTTTAATAAATGGTAAATGGCTTAGTCAGCTAGAAGCACTCTGTCACATACTTCAGCAGAAGTCATGCCTCTCTGAGGACCACACACCAGCCGCAGGGATGCAGGCTGGACAAAAAGATGCAGATGGATAAGACCTTGTAGTATGGATCCAATATTTTCTACGTCAAAAATGACTTCAAAAAAGAAAAAGACTTCCAAGGCCCTGGGAATTCCTGCTTGGCTTTGATTTGGTATTTCCAGCCCTAAAATTCCTTCCCCAAAGGGCTTCCATGGAGTAAACTGCATTGGAGAACACTCAGAGGGATGAACATGACAAATTAGTGATCTAGTGCACTTCAACTCCAAAGGAAATGATTTCAATTTTCACTTTTTCATTGTGATGTCTAGCTAAGTTTGAGCTAGGAATTTCACTGACAATCTTAGCCAAAAGCTTTCAGTGAAAGAAGAACTGCCGACTGGGGCTCCCAAGGCAATAGGAGCTGTAGCAGTTTCGAGGTCCCAGGAAGAAATGCCCAGGCAGACAGATTTCTGTCTCGGGGGCATTCAACTGAACTCGTGAGCACTCAGGAAGGACCGCTGGAAAAGTCGACTGTGAGAGTTTAGACACGTCTCCCATCCGAGGTAGTTGACAAGCATCCGAGGAGTGGGACTTACTTCCTTCGGGATGTCCCACTGCAGCCGGGTGGGGTACGGAATGTTCGGGTTGGGGTCTCCTTTACAGTGTCCATCCTCTGTGTAACCCAGCTGGAAGCTGTCCGTGGCCATGACATACTGTCAAAAATAAAGACACATCGGTTAAGTTAGAGATCATCACAGGTAATGGTGTTACATACAAGTCATCTGACCTCTCAGAGCACATCCTTTTCTTTCTAGAAATGCAATCAAGACTTAGCCATAGCTACTTGCTTACGGTCTGCTGAGCACTTGACCTCCTGTGAACAGCCACCTAATGAGGTAGTCTGACCTCTGCTTAAGGGGCAAGAAAGATAGACCTGGAGAGGTTCGACAGTGTTTGGACAAGTAAGGGTCACAGCCAGGGTTCAAGCTGAGTGTATGATGCACAGAAAGTAGCTCAGAGCCTGCTTTTACATCCTGGCTGTGAGCTGGTACCCTCTGGGTGTTACCCTGATGGATATTGACCCTGTAAGGCAGTAACTCCTATTCTTACTCGTACAAATAAGAAGACCGCCTCAGCGAGGTGAAGAGTCTATCCGAGTTCACACTTCTCAGGGAGCCAGGATATGGGCCCAGGTGTAAATGCTTTCTGTTCACTGGCAGGTAATCTTAAGGCAGTTTATTCAATGGTATTTACTGAGCACCAACTATGAGTCAACCTGAATATTCACTGGAAGGACTGATGCTGAAATTGAACCTCCAGTACTTTGGCCACCTGATTCGAAGAGCTGACTCATTGGAAGAGACCCTGATGCTGGGAGAGATTGAGGCCAGGAAGAGAAGGGGACAACAGAGGATGAGACGGTTGGATGGCATCACCAACTCAACGGACATGAGTTTGAGCAAACTCCAGGAGATGGTGAAGGACAGGGAAGCCTGGAGTGCTGCAGCCCATGGGGTAGCAAAGAGTCAGACACAACTTAGTGACTGAACAACAGCTATGAGTCAGCAATGCTTCTAAGCACCAGTGAGAAAGCAGACAGGGATTTCTGCCTTTCTACAAGTTTAAAGATGGCCGTGACCAAGCAATCCCACTCTTCGGTACGTACTCAAAAGAAATGAACACGCATGTTCACATACAACTTGTGCACTGATGTTCACAGAAGCAATGTTTATAGTAGTTAAAAAGCGAAAAGAACCCAAATGTCCATCAAGTTATGAACAGATAAAATACAGTATTATCATGCGAAGGAATACTATTTAGGATTCTGGACTTTCACTGCTGTGGGCCAGGTTCAATCCCCAGTTGGGGAACTGAGATCCCCAAAAAAATTTTTAAAAAGGAATGAAGCCCTCTAGAACACTATAGATGAATCCTAAAAACATTAGCCAGACACACAAGACCATGTACTGTGCTGATTCCATTTCTATGAAATGGCTAGAACAGGCAGAGATAGAAAGGAGATTAGTGGTGACCAAGTGGGGTGGGGTGGGGGTGGGGGAAGGCGTTTTCTTTTGGGAGTGATGAAAGTGTCCTGGAATGAGACAGTGGTGATGGAAAGAACCACACTGAACTGTACACTTGAAGAGGTGGACTGTATGCTTTGTGAGTGACATCTGAATTTTAAAAAATAATAAAAATATTTTTAAAAGGATATTTCTGCCCGCGGGGAGCTTACATTCCAGTGGGGGAAGCAAAATGAACCAAAAAAGAGCCCAAGGTCAGATGGTGACACTGTTGGATGGTGAGGCGGGGGGCAGCGGCTCAGGGATGGGAAAGTGTAAGGGGGGGCCTCATCTCATGCACATGTGCTCAGTGCCCCTGTGAGCTGAGCCTGTGAAGGGGCCCAGCCAAGCTGTGTCTGCTCTGCATCAGAGCCCCCGAGTCCAACACCAACACCAGAAATACACAGAGAGCCAATAGGACTCAGCTTGGACCAGATTTGTCTTTAATTGGCACAGGTGGCATCTTTATACCAGCTCGTTAACTGGCCCTGGTGTGGGCCTCCATGACAAGATGGTGGGTCAGTTCTCATCCACATAGGGAGCATCTGGGCTCCTGTCTGATCCCTGGAGTCACAGGCCACTGTGTCCGCTGGGCAGTTAACAGTTAAACACCACTGCATCCAACTGGTCACCCTGATGTAAGACTAAATCCTTTTACCCTTATCTTATCCAGAGTACTGAAAAAATAAGCCTGGCCTTGTCAGTATCCTGTAGATAAATGTACCTAATGTGATCCAGGCTGCCCATGACTCAGAGATTTCTCTTTCATCAAAGTACTGCTCTGATGCTCTTATTACTGGGAGAGTCCTTGGAACAGGGTGTAATAGGTGTGGACCATTACGAAGTGCAAAGAGACTTAAAGTGACTCATTTCCACATTCAGCAGTGAAGGGGGTTTGATCTATGACAGATCTTTAGTTGAAAGGACCTCTCAGCCTTTGTCGGCATCAGCAAAGACAAGGGTGATGAAGAAGAGCCTTTTTGACAACTTGGCTACTTTTATCACGTGTTAATGTCTTAGGACCACACAGCTGTCTTACAGACTGCAGCAATTTTTTCTTTCCTTCTTAAAGGTTTCCCGGGAGAAACTCCAGGGGAGCTTGGGGTGCTGCAGTCCATGGGGTTGAAAAGAGCTGGACATAACTGAGTGATTGGACATCAACAACGAAGAGTGGTGAGGACTCCACACTTCCACTGCAGAAGGCTTGGCTTCGATCCCCGATTGGGGAACTACGACCGCACATTTTACGGCATGGCCAAAAAATAAATAAATGTAAAATATTAGGTGGACGGAGAGGATGACAGGTCTTGGTGGGTTTTTCGGTAACTTGGTAATTCTAAGAATTAAGCGAAGTGGTAAAAGGCACACTGCCCTTTCATAAACCAAGATTTCAATACCTTTGCTTTTATTTGGCCTAAAACTTGGCAGCTTTCAAGGAGCTTCAGTTCTGCCCTGAAGTCACTCTGTCAGAGCCAAGGCCATCTCATTATTTTGGCCCCTTCAGGATGTGACAAATAAATGTTTCTATTTAAGGAACCTCAGCCATAAGTTGACAGTGCCAACACCTGCTGAAAACATTATAACTAGACAGATACTACGAAGTTTAATTCAGTCTCAGGTTTGGTTTTTCAACAGCAATTTCTACAGTCAAGTTAAACTTTCAGACACTCACCTCCCAAAGGTGACCCATGATGGGTGCATCGGCCCAGGAGTGCTCCGCGTTAATGCCCATCTTGCCGTTTTTAAAAATGACAAACGTGAATGATTTATCAAACCACCTGCATGACACAAAAACGTTTATGCAACTGACATGTTTACAAAGACAAAAGCAAATCCAGACGACGTGTTTGTTTTCTTATGGATGGCCTCAACTGACTGTATCCACCCCTCCTATGGCTGGTAGAGGTGATGACTCTCCACAAGTAATAAAAGGACATAGAGAAGGGCCTCCCCGGTGGCTCAGTGGTAAAGAATTCCCCTGCCAATGCGGGAGATACAGGTTCGATCCCTGGTCCGGGAAGGTCCCAACGTGCCTCGGAGCAAATAAACCCGCCGGCCACAACTATTGACCTGTGCTCTAGAGCCCTGGAGCTGCAACCACTGAGACCTGTGCACCCTCGAGCCTGTGCTCCACAACAAGATGCCACCGCAGGGACCTCCCTGGTGGGCCGGTGGCTAAGACTCCGCACTCCCAATGCAGGGGCCCCAGGTTCGATACTTGGTCAGGGAACTAGATCCCACATGCCGCAACTAAGATTCTGCATGCCGCAACTAAAGATCCCATGGGTTGCAACTAAGAACCAGCACAAGAGGGTGTGGAGAAAAGGGAACCTTCTTACACTGTTGGTGGGAATGCAAACTAGTAGAGCCGATATGGAGAAGAGTGTGGAGATTCCTTAAAAAAAATGGAAATAGAACGGCCATATGACCCAGCAATCCCACTCCTGGGCATACACACCGAGGAAACCAGATCTGAAAGAGACAGGTGCACCCCAATGTTCATTGCAGCACTGTTTATAATTGCCAGGACATGGAAGCAACTTAGATGCCCATCAGCAGACGAATGGATAAGGAAGCTATGGTACATACACACAATGGAATATTACTCAGCCATTAAAAATAATTCATTTAAATCAGTTCTAATGAGATGGATGAAACTGCAGCCCATTATACAGAGTGAAGTAAGCCAGAAAGATAAAGACCAATACAGTATACTAACACATATACATGGAATTTAGAAAGATGGTAACGATAACCCTATATGCAAGACAGAAAAAGAGACACAGATGTATAGAACAGACTTTTGGACTCTGTGGGAGAAGGCGAGGGTGGGATGATCTGAGAGAACAGCATCAAAACACGTATATTATCAAGTGTGAAACAGATCACCAGTCCAGGTTGGATGCATGAGACAAGTGCTCGGGGCTCGTGCACTGGGAAGACCCAGAGGAATCGGGTGGAGAGGGAGGTGGGAGGGAGGATCGGGATGGGGAACACATGTAAATCCATGGCTGATTCATGTCAATGTATGGCAAAAACCACTACAATATTGTAAAGTAATTAGCCTCCAACTAATAAAAATAAATGGAAAAAAAAGAACCAGCACAGCCAAACAAATAAATACATCTAAAAAAAGAGAGAGAGAAGCCACTCCACTGAGATGCCTGAACAACAAGGGCTCGATGCAGCTGGAAGGAGCCTGCACAGCAGCGAAAATCCAGCACAGACAAAAATAAATAAATTTTTTTTAAAAAGTTTAAAAAAAAGGTACACATAGAACTCTAACTCATTGGTTTCTCCCCTGCTCCCGACACAGAGAAGCATTTAGGCACTGGGGACCAGAAGGAGAACAGGCTGTACTGTTATAACAAGAAAGGATGCACAGACACCGGCAGAGACAGGAAGCCGCAAGGTCCTCCCTGGGTATCTGCTGGGGGCGTGGCTCTGGGACCCGCTGGCCGATAAGGAAACCTGGGGCTGCTCCGGCCCCCGAGTCGGCCTTCTGTGGCCACAGGCTCTACCACCGAGGCTCCGACACACGGTCCCTGATCCACATAGTTGTCTGAACCCCGCGGACACGGAGGACCAACTGTGCCTGCCCCACCCCTCCCCCACCTCGGCCAACCCTCACCCCCAACCCGATGGGCAGTCAGGACCTCCCTTCACAGGGAGGGGGAAGGAGGCTCCAGGAGGTGGAGCAGCCTCGCCCAGTCACGTGGCCAGTGAGCAGAGACAAAGCCGACATCCAGGTCGGGTCCCGGGCACCACCTTCTCCCACCTGCTGCAGGTCCCGGGCAGCCCCTTCTCACGAGCATCTCCAGGCGGAGGAGGTCGTGCAGAGGGGAAGGATCTCAAGGCTGCTGCTTACGCGTGTGCGTGTGCGTGCGTGTGTGTGTGTGACAGTTTTGGTGGAAAGAAGAAACTCCCCCAGTCATATTTTCACATCCCCCTTTACTGCGGCGGACACTTAAGGCTGGGTGTCAGCCACAGGTCACGCTTCTTCCAGGTTCGCAGGCAAAGCACTGTGTTTCAGAAGGTAAGCGCAATACCTGTCGAAACACTGGCCGTGCAGCAGGGACTTGGCGTAACTGTCCATCGACGTTTCCGGGTCCTCCTCCCTGTATCCCTGGTCCGTTTCGTCTAACGTCACGAAGAACGCTGCTTTCTCCACGGCATCCAGAGACTGCTTGTTTTTCCCATGTCCAAAATAGGCCTGGCGACACCTGGCCCAGGGGACCCTGCGGTGAGGATTAATACCATGAGACCTGCAGCGATTTGGTGACGTCTCCTTCGAGGCACGTGTGAAAGGACAGTGTTTTTCAGTTCTCGGTGTTTTGGGGTTTAAGGAAAACCAGGCGTTAAAGACGGAGAAGGCAATGGCACCCCACTCCAGTACTCTTGCCTGGAAAATCCCATGGACGGAGGAGCCTGGTAGGCTGCAGTCCATGGGGTCGCTAAGAGTCAGACACGACTGAGCGACTTCACTTTCACTTTTCACTTTCATGCATTGGAGAAAGAAATGCAACCCACTCCAGTGTTCTTGCCTGGAGAATCCCAGGGACGGGGGAGCCTGGTGGGCTGCCGTCGATGGGGTCGCACAGAGTCGGACACGACTGAAGCGACTTAGCAGCAGCTGGCGTTAAAGACTTTCTCCATCTGCAACCACTGCCTGCCTGCCTGCCTGCTGGCTGGGCTGCCTGGTTGAAGGGCAGGGGTCTCGCCTTCTCCTGTACCTGCTCCAGGGACGTCGCAGGCGGGGAACTTCATCCATGGATGCCGAGTGAAGGACAATAAGGCAGACGGGCCCTGAGCTCTGCAGTCCGGGGTGGCAGAGCCCCAGCAAGGCAGGGCCTTCCTCACAGCCTTCTCACTCCGCTCTCTTACCCTCTCCCTGCGAACAACCCCTCAGAAACCACAGCGAGGGCCAAGAGCGCAGCCCTGGTGCAGGGACCAGCTCAAGCTCACGGACCCTGACACCATCGTCCCCTCTTTCGAGGCACAGACAGGAGGTCACGGCGCCTCCGTGGCAGGTCGGGACTGCTACCCAGGCCAGCCGGCCCCGAGTCCACACGCCCATGCTACAAACGGCCACACGACACCCCCATGATGCGGGGCGCCCCCGGGAGCCGAATTCAGGGATTCTTTTCCACCCTGCCCCACGTGGGGTGCACAGAGCTGACGGGACACCCAATTCCCGAGAGGTGCCCAGCTGTGGCCTCCTCAGACATCTCCTGGGCCCCTTCACTCGGGCCCCCCACCCCTTTACCCTTCCAGGCCAGGGCCATCCGCCTCTGTCTCCCGCCCTCTCCTCCCCACCGAGTGCTCCCCACTGACCCCCAGGGGTGCCAAAAAGCCCGGAAACACAAAAGGTCCCATCACACGCCCAGCTCGAACCGCTGTTCTTGACGCCTGGGGACAATGGTGACCATGAGAATTGCTGCTATGTGCCCTGCACCTAGGTAAGTGAGGTGCAGCGACGCCCCATGGGGGATGCATCGGGGGGGATGCTCACTGAGTCTGCACCCCGCCTCTTCTCTGCCTCACTGGCTACCCCCAGTGATGCTTGGTCAGACTACTTCCTTCCTTCGGTCATACGTCCCAGGATCCACGCACATGCACGCCTGCCTGTCACACAGACGGCCAAAGGGACCCAGTGACAAAGCCAAGCCCGGCGCTGCAGGCCGGGGACCCACCTCCCCGCCAGGGGGTGACCCTGGTGAGGAGAGGACCCTGAGCCCCTGAAACACGACAGCATCTCGGAGGGGCCGCACACCTGTCTGCCCCCCTGGTGAGGAGAGAACCCCAACACCCCCCGACAGCCCCCCAGGATCCCGGAGGGGCCGCACACCTGTCCGCCGCTGTGAGCGCCGCCAGCTTGGCCTCCCCAGGCTGTGGCTCCGACGGGTCCTCCAGGATCCGCTGCATCTGCTGCTCGATCTCCCGGGGCCTCAGCAGCCGGCCGTCGTGGTAGAGCCAGACCTTGAAGTAGCGGCCCCGGTGGAAGACGACGATGTGCTTGCTGTCCCTCAGGTGCTGGATAGTGTCTGCGGGGGGCGAGGGCAGGCATCCAGGGGCACGCGGTCAGAGAACGCGAGGCCAGACCTCGACGGCACCACCTCCTGTCCCCGCGTCACTCGGCTCCGCTGAGTCCACCTGCAGAGGCTCGGGGCTCTGGGCTGGGACAGGCCTGGGCGCTGGCTCCGCTTGGCCACCCCCTGGACGTGTCACCCGGGCCAAAGGACATAACCCTCCCTGGGCCTGAGTCCCCGCTGGCGGGGGGCGGTCCTAAGCGGTGCCTTTCTGCACTCGTGCATTCTCGAGGGCGTCCTGGCTGGAATAGATGAGGCCCCCCCTACACTGGGCAGTGAGGAAGGCAGGGGTCAGGGTCCCAGGTCAGGTTGCTGGACCGCAAATCTGGCTCCCCCTGAACACAATAAACCCTGCGTGGAGGACTTCCTTGGTGGTCTAGTGGTTAGGAATCTGTGCTTTCACTGCAGGGGGCATGGGTTCAATCCCCGGTCAGGGAACTAAGATCCCTCATGCTGCACTATGCGGCCAAAAAAAACCTCCTAACCCAATCTGGAAAAAAACTACTGTGAGACAACCTTCAATTGAAGAGAAACTGAGTCAGTTAAATCAATTAACTGTCCAGGCCTGAGAAAGACAAAGTCAGCTCAACAGAAGGAAGGTTCTTGAGACTGAACTCTCTGAAATCTTAGGAGGCCAGGAGCCACTGGTGTGGTCTTCTCCGATGTCTCCTGAGCACAAGGATGGGAACTTCTGATTTCCAAAGGAGCCCTGAGCAAGCCACCCACCTGTCTCCTCTCCCGGGATCCGGGAAGTATTAAACATGCGCTCCCACTGGGCGGAGCAGAGCGGAATCGTAGACCCCAAAAGAAGAGTCTGTAACAGAAATATGTCTCAAACAAAAATTCAAGGAGCAAATTAAGTCCACACATTTAAACGTTGGATTTGTTTTCTGTGCGCATGGCTGGACCTAATCTTTTCCAAACTCTGTAAGAACAGGGGTTCCCTGGGACACCATGCCCCCTGGGGTTTGCTGAAACAGACCAGAGCACAGAAACCTGCATCTTATTTTTAAATAACTTGTCCTCAGCAGGCTCCACGCTTCCACTGCCGGGAGCACGTTTTCAGCCCCTAGTTGGGGAACTGAGATCCCGAGTGATGCACAGTAAAGTCAAAAAAAAGAGAAAGAAACAGATGCTTAAGTCAAAGGAGTAGTTAAAAAAAAAAAAAAGGCCTCAAGACTTCCCTGCTGGTCCAGTGGTTAAGAATCCACCTGTCGATACACGGGACATGGGTTCGACCCCTGGTCTGGGAAGATCCCACGTGCCACAGAGAGACAACTGAACCCGTGTGCTGCATCTGCCGAAGCCCACAGGCCCCAAAGCCTGCGTTTGCAACAAGAAAAGCCACTGCGATACAAGAAGCCCGCTCACAGCAACCAAGAGCAGCCCCCGCTCACCACATCTAGAGAAAGCCCCTGTGCGGCAGTGAAGACTCAGCACGGTCAAAAATATAAATAAGTAAATAAACAAAAAGAATTCTTTAAAGGCCTGACATCTATACTATTTCCTTCACAAGCAAGAGAGGGTTTCTTCAAAGGACAAATTACAGAACTAAAGTGCATCAGACATATATCCATTTAGGACACTACAGAAGAGAATCAAATCTCAAAATAATTATGTTGAGTGAAAGAGGTCAAGACAAAAAAATAAAAAGTGAATGGGGATTCCCTGGTGGTTCAGTGGTTAAGAATCCATCTTTCAACGCAAGGGATATGGGTTGCATCCCTGGTCAGGGAACTAAGACTCAAGAGCCGCAACTAGAGGGTCCGTGTTCTGCACCTGAATATCCTGTATGTCGCAACAAGGATCCTGCGTGCCGCAAATGAGACCCAATACAGTCAAATAAAGACTGGTTGGTTTAGTCGCTAAGTCGTGTCCGACTCTTTTCGACCCCATGGACTGTAGCCCGCCAGGCTCCTCTGCCCATGGGGATTCTCCAGGCAAGAACACTGGAGCGGGTGGCCATTTCGTTCTCTAGGGGATCTTCCAAAACCCAGGGATTGAACCCGGGTCTCCTAAATTGCAGGTGGATTCTTTACTGACTGAACCACCAGGGAAGCCCCAAACAACGAACGTCTAAAAAAAAAAAGCAAGCATGCACAAGCTGTAAGTATCCATTTACAGAAAATGCAAGCTAATCTAGAGTGACAAAGCAGATCAGGGTGATGGTGGGGAGCACAGAGGGACACAGAGGAGCCCAGAGTGGGCAGGTGGGCGGGGGCCTCACCCACTTAACTGTGATGGTTTCACACGCAGAGACACATGTCAGAACTTATTACGGTGGATGCTCTGAAGGTGTGCTGTACATCAATTACACCTGCATAAAGCTGCTCTAAAGAACTTTTTTAAAAAGCAGTTTGCGTGCATACTGGTTTGATTTCCTCCCGGTCCAGTTTGCGTCTGTAGAGCAGGATGGCGTGGATCCCGTTGCCAGCTCTTGCCGCCTGGATGTGAGTCGGCCTGATGTACAGCAAGTCCTGACACAAAATGCACAGGTCAGGGGGAATGGTCACAGGGAAGACAAGCGAACTTCAGTGCAGAGCTCATGCATTCCTACACGTGTGTTTGTGACACCTGCTCTGCGGTTTCAAGCCTCCAAGCAGTTCCTGGGCTACGAAAGCTAACAGTATATTTTAAGATTAAATGGTAAATAAATAAACTCAAGTTTAAAAAAAGGTAACAGTACTACATCCTAAATATCCTCATATAAGGCATAAAAAGGAGAGCGGAAATTAAAAGCAGCAATTAGATAATTAGGACGTTTTCTGAGTGAAAAGTAACCAAAGGTTAAAATAATCTTTTATATAGAGAAGTGCTGGCAACTTTTTAGAAACACATTTCTAAGTGTCTATATTTTTCAAGTCCAAGGGTTGCTTGTCTCAACTATACTTTGAGAGAAGTTACATGTGTGGGGTTGCCCCCCAATTACGTGGGAAATAGACACCAAAGTCTTTGGGAACAAAAGGGGATCAGGTGGACAGTTCACTCTAAAAAGTATTTTTCTGGGCCACGTCAACAGTTTTTCTCTAAGTCTGACCTTGTTTCCAAAGGACAAGAACAATTATTTTTAAAGAAAAGAAATTTTAAAGTAGAAAAACAGAAAAAGCAAACAATAAGATAGATATAAAGGAGAAGGCAAAAAAAAATAAAAGAAAGCAAGGAGGAGAAACAAAGGGAAAGACAGATTCAGCAGTTATTTAAGGCCAGTTGTCAGACACCAGTGGTGGTGGTTAGTTGCTCACTTATGTCTGACTCCTTTGCGACCCTATGGACAACAGCCCTTCAGGCTCCTCTGTCCATGGATTTCCCAGGCAAGAATACTGGAGTGGGTTGCCATGCCCTCCTACAAGGGATCTTCCCGACCCAGGGATGGAACGCACATCTCCTGCATTGCAGGCAGGTTCTTAACCTGCTGAGTCATCAGGGGAGCCCAGTGAGGTGCTTCTAACAAGACAATGGGGTATGCTCTCCAGACCAGCCATGTCTCAAAAGGCAAGAAAGACCAAAGAGATGTGAAAATGACACTTGGGTGGGACCCACATCACCCCAAGGCCCAAAAGGACAAGCCCTGTACGTGGACGAGCTCTCAGCTGACCCACAGGTCAGGAGCGGGCAGGGATGTGGGCCTTCAGCATGACTCAGGCTCAGTTAGGAAAACAGAGGGAGAGGTTTGCTGCATGAGGAGTCCCACTAGCCACGAGACCATTTATGCAATCCAAATTCCTCTGCAGCAGCTAGGTGGGCACCCTTGAACCTCACTGGAAATACAAAAGTACCTCCACGGGGCCCTCTGCTGTGGACGGCAGGTCCTGCGCTCCCTCACGGGGGCATGAGGCCTTGGGTAGGGGAAGCAGGGCCAGGGGAGGCCTAGCGCATCCCCAGGCAGCCTGCAGGGCCGGGACGGGCTACCCTGGGGCCTGGTCTCCACCGTGGGCCCGCGGGACTCACCATCGCAAAGTAGTTGCTGTTGACCATCAGCGGCCCTCGTCCTCGGAGGTAGATGTATTCCTCCCACCAGTCACTCACCTGTCAGGTGCAAGCAAGAGAGACCAAGGCTTAACCAGGCTGCCCGGGACAGGGGTGGGCGCCGAGGGTTGGGGGAGGGCGCATTTACAGCATTTCTCTCTCTCGGGGCCAAGTCAGCCCCAGTGAGACCACATGCAAAACAGTGGGCGCCGGAAGATGGCTTTATTCAAGTCAAGACTCAACTACAGGGTAATTACCTTCATTTCATAGATGGTTTAAAAAAAAAGAAACACCAAATGGGAAAGAAATGATAAGTGTTTGGCTGCTCTAACATTTCTTAACAGTCAACACCACCAGTAACTGTCCACAGACTGCCTCTCCCCTTCTGCTCCCAGTTTCCACTCTGCCTGGAGCCACCCCGGGGCCACGTGTCCTGTCTTCCCAGCATCCCCCAGGAGGCCAGCGGTCTCATCCTAACCACACCCACAGCCTTCGGGACCTGAGGACCACCATCCTTCCACTTGGTGTAAGAAAGTACATAAACACACAGAACGGTGCCCACCTAAGAATCTAAGTACCTGTGAAAATGTTCACAAACTCAACATACCGTGTAACCAGCGCAGGATCACAACCCGACATGACCTGCCGCACCCACCCTGGACTCTGACTGCTCTCTCTGGTCGGGACTCACCCCATGGCCACGCCCCTGGTGTGCCCCACCCACCAGCTCTGTCTGGGTCACACCTTCTCTTCCACCCTCTTGTTCTTCAGTCACCAAGTCGTGTCCGACTCTTTGTGATCCCATGGACTGCAACCCGCCAGGCTCCCCTGTCCTCCACTATCTCCTAAAGTTTGCTCACACTCATGTCCATTGAGTCGGTGATGCCATCCAGCCATCTCACCCTCTGTCACCCACCCCCTTCTCCTGCCCTCAATCTTGCCCAACATTAGTCTTTTCCAATGAATCGGCTCTTTGCATCAAGGTGCCAAAGTATTAGAGCGCCAGCTTCAGCATCAGTCCTTCCAATGAATATTCAGGGCTGACTTCCTTTAGGATTGACTGGCTTGATCTTGCTGTCCAAGGGACTTTCAAGAGTCTTTTCCAGCACCACAATTCAAAAGCATCAATTTTTTGGCGCTTAGCCTTCTTTATGGTCCGAGTCTTCCACACTAGCTGTTCCTCAAACCTCAACTCCTCTGCCTGTTTCATCCACCACTTGTGTCTCCTTCCACTCGCCATACGTAGGGAAGCTCAACTGGCTCAGGAACAAATTATATTCCTACACAAAATTCCACCAAGAAAAACAGCATGTTTGTATACTCACATAATTGGTAGCCCACCAGGATTTTAGCTTCAAATACCACTGCAATCTCGGTCCCAGATTGACAGCAAAATCTTGTGCCAGAGCCGTCATCCGTGTAAAGTCTCCTTCCTTCATAAGAGGCTTTACAGATTCCAAGTACTGGGGTTAAGGGGAAAAACATAAGCCCAGCTAAAATAGAAGGTTTCTTTCCTTATGCCTTAGAAAAAGGCTAGTCTTCACTCAAGTTAGCTAACTTCAATACTAAAGGATGTTTTACATCAGGGATAACTCAACAATTAAACTTTTGGGGGGACATCACCAGTGGTCCAGTGGCTAAGGTTCCCAGTTACCAGTGCCAGGGCCCTGGGTTCGACCCCTAGTCAGGGAACTAGGTCTGCAACTAAGAGTTTGCGTTCTACAACTATAAGACACCGCAGGCTGTAATTAAGACCTGGAGCAGCCAAATTAATTAATTAATTACATTTTAAAAAGACAAACTTAAAAAAAAAAAGAGACAAACTTTTTTGTCCTTTTACTGGCACGCACGCTCCTCAGATCTTGAATCAGCACAAAATCACCAAAGTGGACTCTAGACTGACAAGATCAAGATTTGGTCAACAATGAGCTTGTAATGTGTGGGGTTTTTTCCTCCATCTTCTGGTCCTTCATAAGAGCTCTGTTCTCACCTAGGCTATGAAGGTGCCAATGAGATGGGGGGGAGGCTCTGAGAGCCTAGAGTGGTACTAAAGGCTGGTGCTTAGGACCCCAGGACAGGAAGGAGGAGCCAGAAAAACGACAGGGACGGGGAATGTCATACCACCAAGCTGAGGCCAGGCCACCAGTTGAGAATTTTCAGGGCCCCCACTTTGATTCGCCCTGGTCCTTGCAGGTAGAAGGAGGCAGGTAGCAGTTCATGGAGCTCAACAGCATCGACAGTGTATTTTTTGGCTGCACCAGGGGGCATGAGGGATCTTAGTTCCCTGAGCAGGGATGGAATCCAAACCCCTTGCGGTGGAAACTCGGAGTCTTAACCACGGGACCACCAGGGAAGTCTCATCAAGTCATAAGCCTTGATCGCAAAGATGCTGGTGTTCAGAGCAGGTGTTCGGAGGGAGCGTGAAGCTGACCTACCCTGTTGACGGTGTCCTGGACAGCTGGGACGGGCAGGCGCGGCAGAGACGTCTGGAAACTGTACAACATGGGCTTTCGGCCTGAGAAGATCTTGACCATAAACTAAAAAAAAGAAAAAAGGTATGTTCTGAAAGACGAGATTGTGTCAAAGACCCAAAACCAGTTTTTCAGTGTACATGATTTGCCAACTGGTTACTGATTCTCCAGTGCAGTTCATCTCCTCCAGTCCGTTTTTTGCCCCAACCCTCGCAGGCCTCAGCAAACAGCAAACCCCAAATAAAACCCAGGGTGAATGAAGCTCTGTGTCTGAGATAGTCCTGCCCTGTCCAGGAGGTGCCTTTCCCTGGGCACCCTGACACAGGGTCTGATTGCACTTCTGCACAAGGGGATTAAGTTCCATGTGCCTACTTCTGCAAGGCCCTCGGTTTCCAGATTGGCACCGGGGGCTGGGCGAGGGGCCTGGACCCAGAAGCAAGCTCAGGAGAAGCAGTGGGACCCTCTGGTCATTGACAAGTCTGGTGAAGGGCACACACTTGCCCCTGCTTAAGTCTGGAATGATCTAAACATGCTCTAGCAATTGGTCACCTCATACTGACCTGACTTCAGAGAATTTCTGGGGCTCATGGCAGGGGAGGGTGGGGGTGCTGTGATTCTCGATGCTGAAGAGCAGGTGGGACTCAACTGGACACCAGGAATGATGGTCACCTTGGGGCAGGTCATTTCTCTTGCTTAATAAAGTGTGGATACCACCTCAGAATCTCTCCTGGGAGAAATAGAGAATTCTATTTCTCTGGAAATCAGAAATCTTACATGCAAGCAACAGCAGGAAGTCTGTTTGGGAAAGATGAAAGGTGTGGTGTGGTGGGCTCCGGCATGGGGATGCCCACTCCTTTCAGGAGCCCCAGGGGGTGGCAGTCAGCCAGAGGTAGAGGTATCACTGGGTGAGATAAGGACAAATATCCATGCACATTCAGGTCAGTGACTGCTGGACTAAGGACCAAGGTGAGCTGGTGAACGCAGAAGCTAAGGGCGAGTCAGGGTGTCCTGGTTTCAGCTAGGGAAACCATTTACTGCCCGAGTTAGTCAGAAAGGCTACAGAGAAATAGATGGAAGGTACTTGTGTTTGACGGGTGCCCTAGATGACAAACCCAGCAGACATCAACACTAGATATTCAGGATACACTAATTAAAGGAGAAGAGTCCCCGGCCCAAGCTCATGAGTCACAGTGGGTCAGACTTCTCTGGCAATTAGAGGGTGACGCTCAAGTCACCAAGGGGACTGTATAGCACAGGGAACTCTACGCAATACTCTGTAGTGACCTATTTGGGAACAGACCCTAAAAAAAGACTGGATATATGAATATGCACAGGCTTTCCAGGGGGCTCAGTGGGTAAAGAATACACCTGCAATGCAGGAGATGCAGGTTCAATCCCTGGGTTGGGAAGATCCTCTGGAGGAGGAAATGGCAACCCACTCTAGTAACTACTCTTGTCTGGAGAATCCCATGGACAGAGGAGCCTGGTGGGCTATGGTCCACAGGGTTGCAAGGAGTCGGACATGACTGAAATGACTGAGCCCACACACACACGTGTATGCATAACTGATTCACTCTGCTATACACCTGAAACTAACACAACAGTGTAAGTCAACTAGACTTCAATAAAAATTAATTTTAAAAAATTCACCAAGGGGAAAAGGCCCAGTGAGGGCCCTTCTTGCAGAAGAGAAAGTCTCCCACACAAGACACCAGGCTGAATGGGTGAACAAGACTCAGAAGGACATATCCTGGGTGGTCTCAGGGGTCTGTGGAACCGCAGAAGCAGCAAGGAGGGAGGGGGGCTGCCAGGGGCCGGGGGACACAGGGTGGGGGTTGTAAATCAAGTTGACTTACACTGCTGTGTTAGTTTTAAGAGTACGGCATAGTGAATCAGTTACCCATATATATGTGTGGGTGTGTCCCTTAAAAGGGACAAGGTTTCAGTTACAGGACATAACTATGTTCTGTTTGGTTGGGGTTTTTTTGCTTTTCTTTTTCTGTTTTCCTTTTCAGGCCATACCACTGGGCATGTGGAGTCTCAGTTCCGTGACCAGGGATGGAGCCCACAGCCCCTGCAGTGGAGGTGTGGAGTCTCAACCACTGGACTGTCCAGGGAACTCCGGAAAAAAGTATGTGCTGGACACTGAGACTGGAACAAACAGTCCTGCGTCAGACCTTACACATTTGCTGAGAGGGTGAATCTTAGGTTAAATGCTCTTACATTCAAAGGCAAAAGGCATGGGTGGGGCCCAGGGTTCAAGGAGGGCGGGGTGGATATATTAGTGACTTTGGTAGAGATGAGGGTTTCACAAGTATATATTTATTTCCAAACACATCAAGCTGTGAAACACCCACGGCTGTGACTATGTTAAGCAGTTTTAGAATCATCTACCAGGGAGCTCCCCGGCAGTCCAGCGGTTAAGACGTGGGTTTTTCACTGCCATGGACTCAGGTTTGACCCCTGGTTGGGAGCTAAGGTCCTACAAGCCTCGAGGCATGGCAGAAAGAAACAAAAGCCTCCCCACCAGCTGCATGCTGGGGCAGCATTACCATCCAGATCTTGGTGGTGCGGCTCAGCCTGTTGTGCTGGCCGAACATCCAGCCGTGGTAGGACAGCAGCACCTTCAGGGAGTAACGCATGGTGACGATGAGGGCCACCCACAGGCCCGTGCCGAAGATGACGCCGCTCACCACCTTCTTGGTCTGGCTGGACATGCAGCCACTGCCGAGACAAGACCAGACAAGCCACGGGTTCATCAGCGAAGGAAGCCACGGACCCCAGGCCTGATCAGAGAGAGGGGGCCACCCGTGTTAACCTGATTCTCCCAAGACTCAGCCATCTTTCTTCTGGATGTGAGATGAACCAGCCCCATCTGCTTTGCTGGTCCTCGAAACAAACCCAGGCTAACAGGCATAATCAGGGAAAACAGACAGCTTCCTCCAGGTCCAAGTAGGATGAGGAAGTCAGGGGTGAGGCACTGGCTCGCCCACGATGGGAGCTATGCCCCAGACTGACGACTAACCTGCAATCTCCTTGGCTGGGAGCTGGCTGCAATTCTGCACCTTCCATTCCTGCTACTCAAGATGTTTTTCCCTTAAACATACCTTTGCATTTCATCATGACTCATAAGAAATGCAGGTCACTTGACAAAACTACTACTTCAACTATTTATATCAAAAGAGCTTGTTTTTGATCTGGGCAGGAACATTTATCATGAACACATATAGAAACCGATGCTGTAAAATGATCACTCAAAAACTTAGAAAATATTTTTATTTGCTAGGGAAAGTGATGTAGATAGGAAAGTGATCTGATGAAGATGGGACTTAGTGCTCGCTTCGGCAGCACATATACTAAAATTGGAACGATACAGAGAAGATTAGCATGGCCCCTGTGCAAGGATGACACGCAAATTCGTGAGGCATTCCATGTTTTTAAGTTTGATCATTTGGTTAAAAAAAAAAAAAAGATGGGACTTAAAAAATGAGAAGAAATACAGCCACTCATACACTTTTGTAGGCTGTAGTTTTAGTTGTTTTGAAAAACCACAAAATATTCACAAAATAAAAATAACTTAAATAACAAATGTTGGTGAGGATGTGGAGAAAAAAGGCAACATTTATGCACTGTTGGTGGGAATGTAAACTGATGCAGTCACTATGGAAAACAATATGGAGATTCCTCAAAAAAATTAAAAATAGAACCATATGATCCAACAATTTCACTTCTGAGTATTTATCTGAAGGAAATGAAATCACTCCATGTTCACTACAGCATTATTTACAACAGACCAGGCATGGAAACTTAAGTGTCCATGGACAAATGAGTGGATAAAGAAGAGATGGTATTAATATGGAGTGATACAATGGAATATTATTCAGCAAAAAAAAGAATAAATCCTGCCATTTGTGACAATATGGATGGACCTTAAGGACATTATAGCAAGTGAAATAAGTCAGACAGAGAAAGACAAATACCAGATGATATCACTCACATGTGGAATTTAAAGTATGACACAAATGAACTTTTTTAAAATGAAACAGAAACAGACTCACAGACATAGAAAACTAATATATATATACACATTCCTGAATCATGTTGCTATATACCAGAAACTAACACAACATTGAATATTAACTATACTTCAATTTAAAAAAAAGGTTAAAAAAGAAAGGCATATACTGTATGGTCTCACATGTGAAATCTACAAAAATATATATTTTTAAAATTTGTAACTATATTGGGTGATGGATGTTAACAAAACTTGTGGTAATCATTTTGCAGAATATATGTATCAAATCATTATGTTATACACCTAAGAACTGATGTTTTCAAACTGTGGTGCTGGAGAAGACTCTTGAGGGTCCCTTGGATTGCAAGGAGATCAAAGCAGTCAATCCTAAAGGAAATCAATCCTGAATATTCATTGGAAGGACTGATGCTGAAGCTCCAATACTTTGGCCACCTGATGCGAAAAGCCGACTCATTAGAAAAGACCCTGATGCTGGGAAAGACTGAAGGCCGGAAGAGAAGGGGGCAGAAGAGAATGAGATGGTTGGATGGCATCACTGACTCAGTAGACATGAGTTTGAGCAAACTCTGGGAAACAGTGAAGGACAGGGAAGCCTGGACATGACTGAGCAACTGAACAGCAACGAGCAAATGATGCATTTGGCATTTTCTATATGTACACCTACAGGCACTTCAACTGAAAGCATTAGCAAAAAAAGCTTTCTGTTATACGTTGTGCCCCTTCTAAGGCTGCAGGGGGTGGGCCACCCAGAGGTTGGGGGGAGGCCGAGACTTCAGGGTGTTGGGGATCCTCTCCAGCAAGGATATGCAGAACAGCCCTTGACCCTTGACCCTGGGAGCTGCTGGTCCCTTAACCTGGTCTTTCTAAATCTGGGCCAGGGATGGCCCAGTTTACTGCAATTGGTTTAGAAGGATGAAGAAACAAATCTTATAAAGACTCAGATTAGAAAGGGCTTTAAATAGCCAACGCTTCTAAATATAATCCAGTGTAAAGAAATGACCCAAGGTCCGGAGTAAATTAAAAAGTGTGTTAAACCCAAGCAGGCAGGGATGCAGAGATGAGCTGTCTATGGTGGGGGCAGGCCTGTGGCTCTCTAGAAAGAGAGGGCAGAGACATGTGCAGGATGATGAGAGAGAGACGGAGTCCCTGCTCGGGGACCCTGCCGGGACTCCTGGCCCCCAGGCAGACCAAGGAGTCCGGCAGGTGCGAAGCGCAGGTGTGCGTTCCCCGCAGGGATGGGTTTGTACCCAGGGCCTCGCAGACACTGATAAAGGCGTGAGCCGGGGTTCCGAGGCAGCTGGGGGCTGTGGGTGACTCAGCGCATCGCACTGGCTGCCAAGCATCCCAGGGCCTGGTGAACAGGAGCAGCAGTCAGCTGCGAGGGGCACCGGCCCAGACAAGGGAAGATTCAGACCTTTCCGTGAAAAGTGCTTAATCCTTTCTTTACTGTCATCAGAATCAAACTCAGCCCTGAGCTGTGAGCTTTCTTTTATGTCGCATTTTGCCACTTTATTTCCGTGTCCTTTTCTGAAGGCAATATTGAAATCCAAACAACTGACTTAGTAAAGGGTCCAGAAATTCATCTGTTTATTTTGGGCCCAACCGCAACATTGCAGCTATGGCCCAGAGACCCGGTGGACGCACCTGGGCTACAATCCGTCCCCCACCTTCCTCACAACTCCCGACCCCAAAAGCAAAGCTCAGGAATCCCCTCGTGGTCCAGTGGTTAACACTCCGCCCTTCCACCGCAGAGGGTGCAGGTTCGATCCCTGGTCAGGGAACTAAGATCCCACCTGCTCCGAGGCACGGTCAAAAAATGAAGAAAATTTTTAAAAACTAAAAACAAAAAGCAAAGCCCAAACACGGGACAAGGACTTGGGGAATTATCATTTCTCTAGTCACAGACCTAAAATGTTCACTGATGTAAACAAGTGACATGCAAACAGGATCAAAGGTCTGGCTTGGGACCAGCCACAGCCAAGGTGGAGTCCTTTTCAATCAGAAAACCGGAACAGGTATCCCAGGGGAATTCCCCTGGGGTCCAGTGGTTAGGGCTCAGCACTTCACAAGCCCTACGGTACGGCCAAAAGAATAAAAATGTGTCTTTCAGAGCTGCAATCACAAACAGTGTAATGGAGGCGGGTGGGGTAGGCTTAGCCCCATGTGGATCCCATCACCGGGTCCCTCAAACGCCAGCGATGCAGAGGTGCCGTTCCTGCCTGTGTTTGGCAGGAAGGTTCTCTGCGGGGAGGCTCAGGGCCTGCTGAGGGGAGCATGCGGTCCGAGGCACTGCGCAGAGCTGGGTCTGGAGCCCAACCTCCCCACTTCCTCTCCCTGACTCTGGGCAGGAATCCACATATTTTTTTTCTCAGTATTTATTTGTGAATTTATTTGGCTGCACCAGGTCTTGGTTGTGACATGCGGCATCTAGTTCCCTGACCGGGGATTGAACCTGGGTCCCCTTCATTGAGTCTTAGCCACTGGACCCCCAGGGAAGTCCCAGGAGGCTGCAAGTTTGAGCATTTCCTCACTTTACATCAGAGAGCCCAGTGAGAGAGGTGACGGTAGCGCAGGGGCCGCCGGGCAGGAGATGATCATGGGAGCCAGGGTCACCCCCAGGACCGGAGGGAAGAAAGGACATCAGAGGGGCTCCATAGAGACCCTCGCGGGCACGGCCAGCATTCCCGCACGAGACCCCAGGCGCCACACACCTTGAAGGAAAAGTATCACCCAAAGGCTTCTCCAGGCCGAATCTCACGATATTTAAAAAAAAAAAAAGCCTATTTTCAAGCTCTTAGAAAACTACAGTCACTAGGATAGAATGCCGGGAGTCCCTCCCCAGGTTCTAAGTCGCTCAGACAAGGAGCTGAGCGGCTGGAGTCTCCCCAGAACCCCCCATAGCAGTCAGCTCCCGGAGTCCCAGAACTCCAGGATGGCCCCCCCGTACAAGGAAGACAGCATGTCTGGAAACAGTGCCTGGGACAAAATTCGTTCTGAGGACCCCCCGGCCAGGCTAAGTGGACTGGCAGGCACCCTAGGGCAGAGGCTGCTCTTCACACACCTGGGCTTCTGAGAAAGAGTGACGGGACCCCAAACTCCCCAGGGGACCTTCATATCAGTCCAGGACATGGGGAGAAAGCTGTCGTGAGAATCGTAGCAAAAGCCTCTAAGAGAATATCCAGAACAGACCGTCATGACGTTTGAAAAGACAGAAAAACGGCAGCAACAAAAAAGAGAGTCACTGCCTAGACCCTCTGAGATTTGAGAGGCTTACTCACGTCGCGTCCAGGGTCCGATTGATCTTAGCGATTACTCCCAGAGAGGGGTCGATCTTGGCGTACATTGTCGACATCACGCCCACAACCACGATGAGCCAGCTGGAGGGGCTCGCGGGGTACACGCCAGTGATGATGCCATTCTAGAAACAGACACAAGCGCTGTGAGCGTGCCCCTCCTGCTGGCAGGGCGTGTGAGCTGGCAGGCGGTGGAGAGGGTGGGGGTTGCACACCCTGACGGCTAAACAACCCTGGCGACGCTTCCCAGGGCCTCCAGGCTCAGCGGCTCAACTTCTGCGCAGCTCCTTCCCTTCCTCTACTCCTGGGCCAAAACTCTCCCTAAGACAGTCTCCCTGAAGAGCAGCCCCAGGACGTCAGAAGCACCAGAAGCGAAGTGTTAGCCACTTGGTGGTGTCCGACTCTGCGACCCCATGGACTGTAGCCCGCCAAGCTCCTCTGTCCATGGAATTCTCCCGGCAAGAATATTGGAGGGGTGGCCATTCCCTTTGCCAGGGGATTATCCTGACCCAGGGATCAAACCCGGGTCTCCTACTTTGGCAGGCAGTCTTTACCACTGAGCTACCAGGGAAGCACATGGGTCAAAACCTTCTCGAAAATCGTCTCCCTGGAGAACGACCCCAGGACATGAGAATCACTCTAAGTTGGAAGCCTTAAGTTAACATACCCATTCCTTAGCTCCCCTGAGACTGACTCAGGACACTGCCCACCATGACGTCCTCTCCCCAACCTGCTGCATCCAGGATGCCCCGAGACCCTCACTCAGATCACCCCTCTTGCTGCTCCTGAATCAGACACTGCTTAACCCGAGGTATTAATATTTTACAAGACCTTACTCCATGGTCAGAATCTCCCAAAAGATGCTTCAGCCAAAGCCCTGCGACAGCCCCTTAAAAAGAAACGATGTAGCCGGGGAGAAGGGGTAGGAAGAAATAAGATCTCAAAATTGGCAAAATGTTGACAGTTGTGGAAATGAGCAATGTGACTTTATTATAGCGGTGTGCCTTTATTATTTACTTCTGTGTATGTTTCAAGACTTCCAATTAAAAAAAAAATCATACTGAAGTCATGTTAATAAGAGATTGGTTTGACCAAGACAACGGATTAAAAACATTCTCAGATCTTTACTGAATTCTCTTAGGAGAGACTACCATGTTATTCCCATTATTGAGAGGCATGGAAGATTTTAAACAAAGCGGTTGGGGGTGAGAGGCAGGGGCACGGAGGGGGGGCCTTCTGCTGTTCTCTGAAGTTCTCTGAAATGTTCTTATAAAATAAAGACACATTAAATGGTAATGGGGGAAAGCAGTTTCTAGATAAATGGCCTCCACTCCCCACACTCCCCACCCTGCGGCAGCTCTGCCAGCCTTCCCCCCACCCCCCAAAACCTGCCCCTAGGTCCCCGAGGAAACCACGTGGTTAGGAAGGTAGGAGCTCCCACAAGGTCAGGAGCGCAGAGAGCACGTCTCCCTGCAGCTGGCGCCCTCCTTCACTTTGAAAGAAGGGTCACAGCCGCTGGGGCCTCAGGCAAAGACTGTGTACCTGATGCAAAGAACTGACTCACTGGAAAAGACCCTGATGCTGGGAAAGACTGAAGGCGGGAGGAGAAGGGGACGACAGGGGATGAGATGGTTGGATGGCATCACCGACTCAATGGACATGAGTTTGAGCAAGCTCTGGGAGTTGGCGATGGACAGGGAGGCCTGGCCTGCTGCAGTCCATGGGATCACAAAGAGTTGGACATGACTAGGCAACTGAACTGAACTAAACCTGGGCCCCAGGACCCTCCAACACAGCCAGGGGACACCTGTCCAGCCAGGCCAGGTCTCCCTGGTCATTGCTCCCACCCACTCCAGTTCGGGGGCCTTTCTCAACAGCCCTCCTCTTTGCTGCCCTCTGAAAGGAAAACGACATCAAACCCAGTTTTGTTGGGGAATGGGGAGGGGACACTTTTGATACACTTTCAACTTGTTTGAATTTTTTTAAACATGCATTTGTCCTTCTGTGACTTTCATTTTTTCATTACTGGCAGTAAGAAGAGAACCCTGGAGACTTTTCCCAGCACTATCTCCCCCAACAGCAAAATTGAGGAAGTTTCAAGCGAAGAGTATGTGCATATTCATGACTTCTGTGATTTTTAAAATAAGATGAATTAAAAACAAGGCACATCGGACTTTCCCCAGCCATCCAGTGGTTAAGACATTGCCTTCCAATGCAGTAGGTGTGGGTTTCATTCCTGGTCAGGGAATCAAGATCCCCCAGATGCCGCCAGTCAAAAACCCAAAGACATAAAACAGAAGCAATGTTGTAACAAATTATTTCAATAAAGACTTAAGAAAAATGTCACTCTGCTGACCTATGTGGGAAAACAATCTTAAAAAGAGTGGATATTTGTATGTGTATAACTGACTCACTTTGCTATACACCTGAAACGAACACAATACTACAAATCAACTGTAATCCAGTAAAATTTAAAGAAAACAAGACGCATGGTTAAAAACAGGGAATAGACGTCCACCCTTGCCGGTAAACAGAACTGAGAACTTCACATTTGCTCAGCCACTCAGATGTGTCACGTCCAACTCTTTGCGACCCCATGGACTGAAGCCTGCCAGGCTCCTCTATCTACGGGATTTTCCAAACAGGAATACTGGAGTGGGTAGCCAATTCCCTTCTCCAGGGGATCTTCCAGACACAGGAAACGAACCCGCATCTCCTGCACGGGTAGGCAGATTCTCTACCACTGAGCCAGCTCAGAAGCCCGCATCTGCATTTACATGCATCTTTTTCAGTGGTGGACCATTTCATTGGTGAGATATCTGTTAAATAAACTCTCTGTGGTTTCCTGTGAAGTGTAGAGGGGCCCAGACTCAGAGCTAGAGACATTTATTCTCCTTCTACCCCAAAGGGCACTTACCTTCTCTGAACCCCGACTTCCTTGTCTGCCCAAAGCGTCCCAATTCACCCCGCCTGCCTTACAGAATTTCTCCAGGAATTCAGTGAGCCAATACATATAAAATTGTCTCACAGGCCTTAAGGACCAGAAACATACATAAGGTGCCAATTACCACGGACGCACTGAAACTTCAATAGAACCTGGAGTTCTCAAATAGGAAAGTGAATACTGTACGGATTGAAGCAAGGATCTGGAAACCTTGAATCTGATGAACTTCTTCTTCCAGGAATGAAGTCCAGACAGATAGATCTGCCTGAGGGCCTCATGGCTCATTCGGAGGTCGATCCCATCCGGAGTGACTGTGAACTGGAAGGCCACGGCTTGGTGGGCCTCCGCCATGGTCAGAGAGCTCCTGGAAAGACAAGGGTGAACAGAACGTGGTGAGTGTTGACCAGACATTGGAAAAATCCCCTGTTGTTGTCTCTGCTTAGTCACTAAGTCGTATCTGACTCTTGGCGACCCCAAGGACTGTGGCCCGCCCGCCTCCTCTGTCCACAGGATTTCCCAGGCAAGCATACTGGAGTGGGTTGCCATTTCCTCCTATTGGGAATCTTCCTGACTGAGGGATTGAACCGGTCTCTCTTGCATTGGCAGGCGGGTTCTTTATCGATCAGTCACTGGGGAAGCCCCTAAATAGACGTGCGATCCATTCTGAATTTGACCATTTCCTCCCATTTGATAAATGTTACTCATTAACACACCTGGTTGTAACTGCCCCCTCACCTCTGCCCCTGCTCCAGAGGGATACAGACAAGCCATCGCTGCCTCTGCTTGGAGGTGCTGGGTGGTCAGCAGAGCCCAGGAGCTGGAACCCCTCACCCCCAGGCCCCTGGCCATCCCACCAACCCTGCCTCCGGGCAACAGGCAGCCGGAGCCTCACCCAACCGGAATCCCGAATCCCAGGGCAGTTTAGCAACTTGCCGTGCCAGGGCAAATCCCATCCCTACCCAGCAGGCAGCCTGGAGGCTGGCACAGCCTCAAACACATCCATAACAGCCTTGATGCTTTATCTCAGGTGGGAACCGGGGTCAACACCACACACCTTGGCTATGCGGTAGCCACTCCACAAAGCACTTCAGGTTCCAGAAGACTCCAGGAAAACCCAAGGCACAGAACCCTGGGGCGGGGGGCGGGCCTCCCTCCTGGAGACTTGGGAAACCGACAGCTGCCACACTCACCCCTGCAGGCTTGGCCCTCCCAGCTGGCTTCCAGCCTCTGCCAGGCGAGCGCATTTCATTTTCTTGCTGTAAATATTTGCCTCCTTTCACCTTCTTCCTTGACCAACTCCTGACTCACCTCTTCCCTCTCACCCTCCCTGACATCAGCCTTCCCCCGATCCGCTGAAAGTGCTTGATGGCACCACCTCCCCCTAAACCCCGTGCCAACAAGCACACCTGCATACAAAGGAGCTAAAAGTTTACCAGTTAAGTTCAGTCGCTCAGTTGTGTCCAATTCTTTGTGACCCCATCGACTGCAGCACGCCAGGCTTCCCTGTCTATCACCAACTCCCGGAGCGTCCTCAAACTCATGTTCATCGAGTCAGTGATGCCAAAGTTTGTAGTAAAGCAGAATAAGACCCCAGAACTCTGAGTGTGTGCATCCCTAGTGCATGCTATTTTTCCTTTTCTCACCATGCAAGCCTCTTGGGCACAGACATCAAACCCATCAAAATCAAGGGCAATGCTGTTTCAAAGATTTGTTGTTATTCAATTGCTAAGTTGTGTCCGACTCTTTGTGACCCCATGGACTGCAGCACGCCAGGCTTCCTTCTCCTTCAGTATCTCCCTGGAGTTTGCTCAGATTCATGTCCATTGAGTCAGTGATGCTATCTACCATCTTATCCTCTACCTCTCCCTTCTCCTTCTGCCTTCAGTCTTTCCCAGCATCAGGGTCTTTTCCAATTGAGTTGGCTCTTTGCATCGGGTGGCCAAAGTACTGGAGCTTCAACTTCAGCAACAGTCCTTCCATGAATATTCAGGACTGATTTCCTTTAGGATGGACTGGTTGGATCTCCTTGCAGTCCAAGGGACTCTCAAGAGTCTTTTCCAACACCACAGGGCAAAATCATTAATTCTTTGGCGCTCAGCCTTCTTTGTGGTCCAACTCTCACATTGGTACATGACTGGAAAAAAACCACAGCTTTGATTATACAGACTTTTCTTGGCAAAGTGATGTCTCTGCTTTTTAATACACTGTTTACATTTGTCATAGCTTTTCTTCCAAGGAGCAAGCATCTTTTAATTTCATGTCTGCAGTCACCGTCCGCAGTGATTTTGGAGCCCAAGAAAATGAAATCTGTCACTGTTTCCATTTTCTTCCCATCTATTTACCATGAAGTGATGGGACTGAATGCCATGATCTTAGTTTTCTGAATGTTGAGTTTTAAGCCAGCCTTTTCACTCTTCTCTTTCATCAAGAGGCTCTTCAGTTTCTTTTCACTTTCTGCTATTAGGCTGGTGTCATCTACATATCTGAGGTTATTGATATTTCTCCCGAGATCTTGATTCCAGCTTGTGCTTCATCCAGCCTGGCATTTAGAATGAGTTATTCTGCACAGAAGTTAAATAAGCAGACAATATATGGCCTTGTCATACTCCTTTCCAATTCTGAACCAGTTTCTTGTTCCGTGTCTGGTTCTAACCAATGTTTTTGGCCTACATACAAGTTTCTCAGGAGGCAGGTAAGGTGCTCTGGGATTCCCATCTCTTTAAGAATTTTCCAGTTTGTTGTGATCCACACAGTCAAAGGCTTTAGTGTAGTCCATGAAGCAGAAGTAGATGTTTTTCTGGAATTCCCTTGCTTTTTCTTCAGGAAATCAGAACAAGTGATCCCGGCTGTCACTCACTTGTCTGTTCAACAAGTGTGTGTTGACTGCCTCCTACGTGCCAGCCAGCCGTGGAGAGGATGGAGATGCTGGCAAGAAGGGTCACCCTGCAGTTCAGACAGGGGGGCAGGAAGAAGCGGGAGTGACAGAGAGGACCCCTCAAGTAACACGGAAGCCCAGAGGAAGGATCGGACAGAAGGCAAGATTTTCAGGATCGAAGGCAGACCTGTGAAAGGGCTGGAGATGCAGGCTGGCTGGGGTCAGGGCAGGGCTGAATTCAGACAGGAAGGCCCAGAGGCAGCCGGGTTTCATGATTAGGGTGATGGAAAAGTATCAAGGGCCATGATTTGGGGCGTCAGTTCCTGTGTCTGTTCCAAAGAAGACACGGGCATATATGCCAAGTTGCTCAGTCGTGTCTGACTTTTTGCGATCCCGTGGACTGTAGCCCGCCAGGCTTGTCTGTCCATCACCAGTTCTGGCAAGAATACCAGAGTGGGTTGCTGGGCCCTCCTCCAGGGGATCTTCCCAACCCAGGGACCAAACCTGGGGTCTGTTAACGTCTACCCGCATTGGCAAGTGGGGGTCTTCACCACTAGTGCACCTGGGAAGCCCAAAGACCACTCTGGCTGCTATATGGAGAGGAGGGGGACTGGGAGGGGCAGTGAAACCAGTTTCCAAGGAGAGCATGGCCCACAGTGGGAATGGGGGTAGGACCCCCTGCAGGCAGGTCTCAGAAGCACCCTGGGGCTGGGGCCTGGTCTGTGTGGGCTCCACCAACCTCCCCAACACAGAAGAGCCACAGAGCAGGGTGGGCTAGGTGGGGGCTGGGAGTGGAGCGTTCACCCCGGGGGCAGTGGACAGGGGGCACTCAGGTGGGGACGTCCGGGCCGAGGGAGAAGCTGGGATGGGCAGCCGAGAGCTCTGCCTGGACGATCTTGAAAGAAAAGAGCAAGTCAGTAAAACTGCATCCACACATGTAAACTTAGCCTGGTGCCACCTGCCTAGCATTCAAGAATATTTACATGTGGGAATTTCCTGGCAGTCCAGTGGTTAGGACTCCAGGCTTTCACTGCCGAGGGTTCAATCCCTGGTTGGGGAACTAAGATCCCATAGGCCACTTGGCACAACCCGAAAAAACAAAACATGACCCTTTGCACACTGTTTACCTGGCATGGAGCAAACGTCCACAGCCCGGCCAATTTTGAAGACATAAGTCCCATTTTTGAAAGCACCAAGATCTCTAAGCAAAAGCTTGCTACAAGCCAGTTTAAACAATCCAAGAGGGCACTCCAATCAACAGCTCGAATCCATTTCTCAAAAAGCTACCCAAGGGGGCTCGAAGATGCTTCCAGAGCCTGAAGGTTAACTCAGCCCCTCCCCCCATCAAAGCCTTGGGGTGAACACAAGTCTTACAAGAGAGAAGAATTCTACATGGCATGCATCACAGCAAATACAATTGTGGCTACACTGTCAATGATTTATTGGAGCTTTCAAAGGCTTTACACAGAACAAGAAGAGATTATTAAAGGCAGTAAGTTAAATACAGTGTCTAGTGTTTATAGTCAATATTCCCCAAGGGTGTGCTCACTGTTTGTTTGTGGACCTAACCCCTGCTAGACAGGGGCAGATGACTGTATTTGCAGCCTCGTTTTCTGAAGTCAGTGGCCTTAGCAGAACTCTCTGAAAACAGATAACTAATAAGGACCTACTGGGGGCTTCCCTGGTGGTCCAGTAGCTACGACTCCACACTCCCAATGCTGGCGGCCCAGGTTCCAGGTACTGTAATTAAGAGTTCACATGATGGCAATTAAGACCCAGCGCAGCCAGATGAATCAAAATAATTAAAAAAAAAAAAAAGACCTACTGTATAGTACAGGGAACTCTACTCAATACTCTGTTATTATGGCTTATATGGGAAAAGAATCTAAAAAAAGTGGGCACATATATGTGTATAACTGATTCTGCCATACACCTGAAACTAACATTGTAAATCAACTATACTCCAATAAAAATTATTAAAAAGACAAAACAAAACAAAACTCCCTGAGTTTAACTAGAGAGTTGCTTGGTTCAGGCTAAAAACTAACCGTGTGTCTTAAGTGCCAAGCAGGAATTAGTGAATCAGATGACAAGGACTTGAGACGTTCCCTCTGCAAATCTAATGAGTGAAAAATCCATCCTGGATCCTGGCATTCACAGCCTCGAAGTTGGAGACATTTAGAATTGTAAACACTGCCCCCTGCAGCCGTGAGGGCAATGCAAAGCAGAGATGCAGCAAAGGACCACTTCACACCCACCAGGATGGCAGTCATTAAGATGCAAAGAAATCAAAACCCTTGTGCCTGGCTGGGGGGAATGTCAGTCTGCAGCTCCTCGGATGGCCAAACGCAGTCACCATGTGACCCAGCAATTCCGCTCCCAGGCACATGCCCAGCAAACTGAAAACGTATGTCCACACCCAAACCTGCACACAGATGTTCACAGTAGCATTATTCATAATAAGCAAAGAGTGGAA